TGTCAAATCTGATCCTTAACTACTCCAGCTCCCACGTCTGATGGAGCAAACCTGGTTTTCACGTAACCTCTTTACTGTCAATTCATATAGAAACCCCCTCTGAAGGCTGGAGAAATTAATCAGTTGCTGCTCTGGAGTTTATGGAGAGCTGGAGGTCATGAACAAATAGCAGGATATAGCTTCTGTGAAAGAAACTGGCTAAATGAGTTTTAAATTTAAAAATCAATGTCTTAATTTCAGATAGTTTGTTCTGCCAGCATGTTGAACTCCAGCTGTGTTTTATTACTTCAAATGCCACAGGATCCAGAATGCCTGGTGCTTCCAGAGTTGCAGTGGGCTCTTCAGCTTGCCCACGTCACTGCTGGAAGGCAGCTGGCTCTGAGAAGGGGCACCAACATCCTAGAAAGACATCAGCAGGGAAGTAGCACAAGTGTCAGGTGGGGATGCAGAAGGTAGGACTGTCTTGATGTGCTCCTGGGCTGTTCAGTGTGTGCAGAACAGATGCTCCTGTTTTTATGCCCCTTCTATGAAAGAGCAGCCTAATTTTAAACTAAACGAGATCTGTTCCTCTGTTTAAGAGTGATCTGCTGTGTTTTGGCTTGATATAGGATCACAGTGGGAAGAAATCTTCCCCTTTCCAAAGAGACTGGGATTAGGAAGCTCCTGAAAACATCTTCCTCTTGGAATCCATCATGTAGCCTAATGTATGAAAAGGGAAGCAAGCAGCGTGCGTTGGGATAGGGTGATCYATTATCATTATTTCCTGGCATATTGATTCTCTGCTTGGACAGGAAAGCTCTGTCACACCGTCAGCCGGCAGTGACGGATGGCCCTGCCACAAACGTGTCATGGCACCAGCTCAGACAAATGGCTGGGGGGTAGGGGAGCAGCCAGGCGTGGGGTGGCTGCACACCACTGCCTCTCTGGGTGCCTGGAAGGGATGGCAGGCAGCTGTGGTGATGTTCTCTCAAGGAACATCAGAAGGAGCAATGAGGGCAGGGATCAGTTTGGAGAAGAAGCGAACATCTCACAAGCACCGTGTCTTGCAAGGGTGGGGGAGATTAAACCAGAAGCTCATTGTGAGCATCAGTTCTTACAGGAACCTACAATGACAGGGGAAAAAAATGTGTTTTAGCCTTGGACTTATTTTCTTTTCTGCAATAGCCTTTCTGCAGAGAGATGAAGCTCATGTACAAACACCATTTTTCATTTACAGAGGTGTTTTCTCTGACTCTGTAAAACGATCCTTAAACTCGGAATGGCTAAATTATCTTCACTGCTTCTCTGCAGCTCTGTTATGTTTCTATCAAAATGCACAAAAATGTATTTCTTAATATCCCCAGACTCCCATATTTCCCAAACTGTACTTCTTTGGATGTCTGCTCATCCATATTCATCCTTCCTTCACCTGCAAGAACCAGAGCAGAACTGCCCTGTCTCTGAATCAACATCTCCTGAGTCAAGCAGGAGGGGCAGCAGGAGCTGACTGCAAGGTCTGCTTTATCTGAGAAGAGCGTTTGTTCCTCAGATAGTGAGGGGAGCAGAGAGTCTGTAGGAGAGGCAGCTGGATGGTTGGGATGAGATTCATTACAAGTTTTGCTTTATAGCATAGCCCCACTTAATTTTTTTCCTCAGGCTCACTTATATCCTTCACTAAAAGTGGYGCTCAAACATCTAGAGGAGAGAAGATGAGACAAGAAGTGTCCTCTGTGCTTTGCTGACTGCCAAACCTGTGGTGTAGGGGCTTGGAGTGGGTTTGACACAGTGGTAAAATCAGGATGAGCAAAACCCTTGATTGCTTTTTAAATATTTATATAGAACAAGGCTTAAAGCAAATTTTTCRCATAACCGAGTAAGAATCCATGGTGACATCAGTGTCCACCTTGCTTTGTGRCTCTGAGTGCTGTTGACCATGGTGTCTGAAGGTGTTTCATCCCTGGAACACATTGCTTGTGTCCTCTGTCCTGTGTAGAGAGGAAYACATCAAGGCTGTTTTTATGAACCCTTGTTTTACTTCACCAGGATCCTTGTGGTGAAGAAACACTGTTGGACAGCTGGTGAGACAACTGTAGGTGACATGAAACAGTGTCGTGTGACTGTGCCTTCAGCCTGCTGTCCTGGCTAGGGGATGAGTGGGAGCTTTGTGTGTGCCTGAGGACCCTGTGCTGCCTCTTTTCTGCTCAAAGCTGCCTGTCAGTCAGCCTGTCATCTTCTTTTCATTTTGACTTATCATCCAAACCGTATCTAGGTTTCAGAGTTTTGGGCTTGCCTCCTCTCAGGGACAGAGAGATAAATCTGACATGCAAGTGTTTTAGCTCTCCAGTTCCAGGAGTGAGAAACTCTTCTGCCACAGGGAATGAGAGAAAACAACCATCGGGCAGGGCTTTTGTTGTCCTCTCTGAGGCTGGAATTGTTCAGGGGAGGTTTCCCCTTTACCCAGCATCATTTCTGTCAAGGATCTTGCATCTGCAGAGCAACAGTGCTCAGGCAGGGGAAGCAGAGCTTGCCTTGTTGGAAACAAAACTAGTTTGGATCTTAGTATTGGATCCTCACTCCTTGTAATTTTGATAAATTTCTGAAATGCATGTTTAATGAAAAACAAATGTATTACATTCTAGTTGCTTAAGCCAAAGRCTATCCATCATTTAGGGGATCCATGAGAATTCTGTTCCTTCAGTGTTCCCTGCCAGAAAAACACATGCTGGGGCAGGGGAGAGCCTCTGGGAGATGCTCCAAGGATGGGGTCCCTGCCTGAAAGTTCCCCTGAACTGGTCCTGTTGGCACTGGTGCAGAAAGTGGGGCTTTGAGCCAATAGTAAGAGTTGTTTTGGGGGATGGAAATAGGTCACTCATCACTCTGTTGATGTTGAGCAGAGCATGAGGAGATTCACTGTCTAGTGTGCAGGGAAAGAGGTGTGAGACTTCTGAGTCACATCTAGCCTAGATACAGGACCAGCTCAGGATGGGGCCACAGAGCCTGATCCCTCTGTCAGGCAAAAAGGAAAGGAGCAGTCCCAGCACATTTCCAGAGCTGCCCAGCCTGCTTTGTCTTATTACTCAGGGCATCTTCTCCTCTTCCTTGCAGCCTGTGCAGCCGTGTCCCATCACCTGGAACACAGCTCTTTCTGGCTCTCTTGCTGAGCAGATATGGCTGGCAAGCATCTCCCCTCCAGGGAGCAGTGGGGGAGGCACAACAACTGTACCTGTGTTGGCAGTGCCCCTCACTTGCTGGGCGTGAGTGAAGGTGAGGGGAATTGCACACCYCCAGAGCAACGAGCTGTTGCCTTCCACAGCTCTCTGTGACTGCCCTTGGGGGAGGAAATAGAGCCCAGCACTCCCAAAACAGCCTGGCCTCGTGGTACTGTGAAGGAATGGATCTGCTGCCGTCAGTCCAGTGTTTGGGGAGGGCTGCTAGACATGCCCTGCCACTGGGGAACAGTTGGAAGTGAGAGGTTTCCTGAGGCAGCATGGGATGAAATGCAGTGTGTGGCTTGGGAAGGGTTCAGCACGGAGCTGGTGTTTGCTGCAGGAGGGCGTGGATTTCTGAGAGAGGGTTTCAGAGGGTGCTGGGGCTGTGTGGGAGGCAATGTTCAGTGAGGTTAGTTTGATCTTGCTGGGCACAAGAGAGGCAGCATTCACTAACTGGTCTGTGACTGCCTTCCCTAGTCCTGTGTCTAGCAGGGTTTCCCATCTCCAGCTGCCTGTTGTGGGGAGCAGSACTGGGCACACAGCAAGCTGGTGGCCTTGTCACTGCCAGTGCTGGTGCCAGCCTCCTATGGACTTGGACTGTGCACTGCTCTGTTTAATTCCTCTGGATTTATATTAATGACATTCAAAGTTGTCTGTAGTGGTTGTCTCAGCATTTTGTTGATTTTTTCATTACCTGATAATTCACAGCTCTGTTCCTGTGCCACAGACTGGTGCAAGGACAGCTCTGTGCAAGCCACAGTGGCCCACCCATTGTAGCACCAGACTGTAAATCTCACTGCTCGCTGCCCTGCCAGGCAGGTCCTTTTCCCCCCATTGCTTGTTAACTCCAGCAGCTGATGATCATCTTTCCCAGGCTGATGCAATTTTTGTGACACCAGAATTAGTTTTCTGCTGGTTTTATATGCCGTGCTGGGAATGAGAGTCTCACAGTAACTGCTCTGGCTCAAATTTCCACCCTCGGAGTAATAAGGACTTTAGCCCAATCTCCTCATTTCATTTTGTCCCTGGCACGTTGTTATTTGTAATAAGCTTTGTAAAATGTTGTTAGGGTTTTTCCTGACATAAGTGAAGGATAGACAAGCAGACTTTGTGTCTAGAAATGATGAATTTTAATAGGAGTCTTTCAGTGCTGCTTTAGTCCCTTCCAGACTGGCTTCTCTACCCTGGGATTAGCTACAGACAGCCTGCTCCTCCTGCCCAGGAAATGGCTGGCTAGTTCTTGCTTTATCATGCTTGACAGATCCCAGAGACAGGAAAGCCTGGTAGTAGTTGCTGCTCCTGGCACGTAGGAGAGGTCTTGGAAACATTAGTCCAGTTGCAAATGTGTAGGAATATTACYGGGGTTGACTGGAGCCAAGTCAAAGCTCAGACATCTCTAAGCCATTTTTAAATGGTGATATTTAGCCAGTGTGTGTGTGTGACACAAGCATCCATGGACTGAAACCCTTGAGGGCTTAGGGTTCACCAGCCACATGAGCCTTCTGCTTCTGAAGGGCTTGGAGCAGCCCTGTGCTCTCGGGGGTGGGAGGGTGAGTCCCCACAGGAAGGAGATTGGAGGGAAATGCCTGAGCCCATTCCCTTATCTGCTGACTGGCACAGACAGCAAATCACGATTAATTCCTGTGCACCTCGCCTTTGATGTAGCACCCTCAGATAAGGTGGTACATCAAAGAGATAAGGAGATGTTCTTGCAGAGCAGGGGAGAGCTGGTGCCAAGACTGCTGGTGTGATGGGAGGAGGGTCGTGGGGAGCGTGGGCCTGGGCTTGACCTGAGACCTTSTCTCTCTCCAGCTTTCATCCTCATGATTATTCTGGCCCTCATCCGCATCAGCAGAGGCCAAGGTGAAGGTCACCCGTCCATGGCCCAGCTGTCGGGCATCCGCAATCTGTTTGGAGTGTGCGTCTACTCCTTCATGTGCCAGCACTCCCTGCCATCCCTCATCACCCCCATCTCCAAGAAGAAACACGTCAACAAGCTGGTGCTGCTCGATTACATCCTGATCCTGGCCTTCTACAGCCTCCTGTCCTTCACTGCCATTTACTGCTTCCGCAACGACACTCTCATGGACATGTACACGCTCAACTTCACCAACTGYGAGATCATCAGCGTGGCCTTCATTCGCTACTTCCTGGGCCTCTTCCCCGTCTTCACCATCAGCACCAACTTCCCCATCATCGCGGTGACCCTGCGCAACAACTGGAAGACCCTTTTCCACAGAGAAGGGGGCACCTACCCGTGGGTGGTGGATAGGATTGTCTTTCCTGCCATCACGCTGATCCCCCCAGTGCTGGTGGCTTTCTGCACCCACGATCTGGAGTCCTTGGTGGGGATCACAGGAGCCTACGCTGGGAATGGGATCCAGTATCTCATCCCAGCTTTCCTCGCCTACTGCAGCCGGAAGGACACTCAGCTGGTTTTTGGCAGYGGGACGGTGAACAAGCACCTCTCCCCTTTCCGGCACACCTTCTGGATTGTGTTTGTGCTCATCTGGGGCTTCTCTTGCTTCGTGTTTGTAACTGCAAACATTGTCCTGAGCGAGTCAAAGCTCTGATGAGGGTTAGCAGCACACTCTCGCCGGAGCTCCAGAGATTCCAGCATTTCAGCTCCCCCTCTGGAACTGTGAGTGAGGGGGACYGGCAGTGTGAAGGGAAATTTCCAGGCTGTTGGCTTGGTGACACAGACTTTCTTCACTCCACTTTGGGTGTGGATGGAATGGACTCAGCCTTGTTACAGTTCTGGTTCTCAGGCGAAGCCCTGGGGCTGAGCCCTTGGCAGCCTGAACCATTAACCAATGCCCAGCTATTCCTGCCTTTGGCTCTGTTGGAGCAGCACATCCTCTGTCTGTCCATGGATGTCTGTGTGCTGCAGGTCTCGGCACACAGGAGAGAGCCAGCCTTGGCTGCTCACTTCACTAATCACTAAATGTCCCTTCTCCCAAAGGCAGGAATGTGCTGTGCAGAGTCCAGCAGGAGTTTGGGAGAACTGAGTCTCCCACTGCTGAGACTCCTTCAGACCAACCTCCTATGCCAGCTGAAGGAAAAAATTAGGGTGGAAATAGACCTAATTCAGAAGGAAACAATTTTGTGCTGTTACATTTTCTTTTTCTAGAAGCATTATCATGTTTGTTCACATTGCCTGGGATCGGGGATCTTTTGCTTCGAGCTGGATTTCTCCAGCCTGGGAGTTTACATTCACACTTCCATCCTGTTCTCCTGTGCTGTGGCAGCCCAGCTGGGCAGAGCAGTGCCCCTCTGCATGCAGGGATACAGCTCTTCCCACTGGAAAGGAAATCAGCCTTGCTTCCCTCAGCACTGGCAGGTGACTCGGAGCTTTCCCTGGCAGAGCCTTCTCCCTGTCTCAGCTTTGCCCGGGGCTGGTACAAGCAGCCAGGCCCTGACTCCAGCGGCCGGGATTGGGATCGGGATCGGGATCGGGATCGGTGCTGGGGAGGTGCTAATTACCCAGTCCTGACACGCGGGAGGCTCCGGCTGTGCACACTGATGCGTTCCGGCTCCCGCGCTGGGTAATTAGCCTTGAAACAAGGTGGGTGTGAACTCAGGGGAATGAGCTGGTGCCAGGAGGGAGCGGCTGTGCCCTGGCTCAGCCCTGCCTGCAGCCGCAGAGCTCCCAAAACAAGGGAGCAAAACCTGAAACCCTGCTGGAAATGGGCTTGAATCCCCCCTCTGATCTTTCTCCACAGGGTTAAAGTGAGTTTTAGCCTGCTCCCGCTCTATTGCTGTTGGAATTGGGCTGCTTTTACCTGTGGCAGCTCTAGGSAAGTCTCAGCTTTTAGGGTGGCTGTGGTCACTGTAACGCCACACTTTGTCACCGGGTCCTGGGTTCAGAAGCCCTTGGGCACAGATCATAGGGGGCTTCCAACAGGAGGAAGAACTTTAAAAGTTTTCACCTGAACTATTTTAACCCTCCCCTGTTATCAAAGCAGGTTCAAAGCCAGGTGCATGTTAGATCCTCCTGCCCTCTGCACTTGCTGCAGTATTAAATGTCATCACTCACTAAAGGAAGCTTTGAACTGCAGCTCTTTTTAATCAAGCTCTGTTTTCAAGTAGGACTTTCTGGTTTCCATATGACCTGAAGTGCTCCTCTTGGGGGAATATGCAAGTACCTGGAGCTGTATAAAACCACTTCATGGCTTTTAAAGCAAAACCCTGCACCTCTCAAGCCTGAGCACCGCCAGTGTCCTTGCTGAGCTGCCTGGAGAGAATCTGGAGGGACTGTTCATCTTCTCCAGCTTGATCCTAAACAGGCATTGGCAGCTCTTGCTAGTGAGTTTAAACATCCCCAAGTGCTCCCGAGAAGCTGATGTGGCATCTTCAGTATCAAATTAAGAAGGTATTTTACAGGTAGCTGGTGCTGGTGTCTCGTTTAGGAAGCAGTAGTTTGGAGGGCAGATTCATGGGGCAGCTGAGCTGGGAGCCACCTGCGTGGCAGCTGGGAGCTGGGCAGAGCTGGAGGGAGGAATTGAATGCTGATGAAATGAGCCTTTGGAAGCTGGAGAGGCTGAGGGGGCTGTTCCTGTGCACGAGTGTGCAGGTGTGGGTTCACCGAGGGGCTGAGGGCTCTCTGCCCTGGGTTGCCCGTGCTTTGCAAGGCCCTTGGCTCAGCCCCCACCCTCTGTGTGCCCGTTTCAGTCTCTTGCCTTCACATTTCATTGCAGCCAGAGAACAGAGCTGTTCTCTGTTATTTCATCTCCTCTCACCCTCCCTTGCCTTCCCAGAGCTACCCCACTGAGGGGGAAGGGAGGGACCCCAGCCTGGCACCCTCTTCCCTGCCATCTCYTACATTTAAAGATGTGCCTTCTCTTCCCTGGCCCGCATGTCCCCCCTCTGCCCTTCAGCGGGGTGTGACAGTGACTTCTGAGGGGCTGCACCTCCCAGAGCTGCTTGGATCCAGGTTTTGGATGCAGTGGCACRCTGAGGGCTCGTGTTCTGGCCCCAGCCTTTGCCGTGGTACCTTAGTGGGAAGGGCTTTGCTCCCCAAGGAGCATGAGTGCTTCTCAGATAAATAACCATGAATTCCCAGACACCTGCTGTCCTTGCACAGCAGCAAAACAAATATATCCAAGGAATTGGGGTGATTAACAGAAAGAAGCTCTACGGCAGAGAACATTTTTCATATAAAACATGACATAGCAATGCCTTAAAAATTACTGGAGAAAGCAGGAAGGGGATGGCTCAGTGCAGCCAGCACTGGCTGAGGAGATGCTGGGTGACCCCACGGTGCAGGGCACGAGCTCTCTCCTCTCGCTCATCACGAATAAGTCTATTTTTATTTGGCCATTATCAGCACTAACAATTCATTATTACAKATTCACACGTGATGCTTTGTCCTGACTGTAATTAGTTTTAAAAAAATGGGATTAAAACCAATAAAATGCACATTATACATCTGGTTTAGTCTGACTTCTTTTTCCATCCCTTTCTTCCTCGTGCTCAGACACAGAGCTGCTATTCCTGGAGGGGATGGCCCTGACGGATGGAGCTGCAGGCCAAGGAGAAATSGCAAGCGGAGAGGCTAATGGAGACCCTCACCTCTTCTCTATTAGCCTCCTGCAACTCTGGGTGGTAGCTGCAAACTCAATTAAAACATCTGTACTTTCCCCTTCTCAATTACGGCTCCTTACACTTAAAGCCAAACAAATTGAATTGCTCCGCTGCCTCGGGCTGCAAAGGCAGTTTCTGCCAGCGAATTTATTATCACCATAAAGCGCAGCTTGATTTATGTTAAAATATTAAAGCAGATCTTTATGATGGAAATAAACACTTTCTGCTGTGATTCTCTCAAAGGACCTCACAAGCAGCGGCGGATTTTGGGGCTTGGGCTGTAAATCTGAGGCCAAACTGGCATCGGGGAGGAATTCAGTCTATTGCAGCACTTGGAAGAGTAACAGCCGGGGAAAGGGAAACTTTGAGCCTTTAGGCAAAGCTTGACCACCACCAAGGAGCTGTGTGTCCCTGAGGGGATTCAGGTATTTGAAGGTTTGGGGAAAATGCTCACAGTTTTTCCCTGGATGCATTTGGGCAGCACAGGAGCTGCCAGTGGCTTGGCGAAGGGCACCTGCTGCAGGGTCTCAGCTGGGGAAGGTTCTGTGCCACGGCTCTGCCCTGGCAGGAGGCAGGAGCAGGAGGTGGCTGCACCTGCTGCTCCCTCGGGCATCCTCGGGCACAGGCATGGCAGCTGTCCCCAGCACCTTCCTGGCCCCGTRTCTGTCCTGGTTTGTCATTAACCAGTTCCCCCTGCCCTAACACGAGTCACCATCTCCCCACAGCAGCACCAGCACGTCCTTGCCATTGGAACCCCTTCCCASTGGCTGATTTGTGCTGGCCTGCTTCGTTCCCCTCATCAGGGTGGGTCTCATGATATCAGGCAGTGGKGCAGTGAAAATAGGRCCTGCCACRGTGATGTCAGAGCCRGGGRATGGGTTTGGRGGGACARTGCCCCCCCTCCAGTGGGGCTGACCCCCAGAGGTGGGTGCCCAGCAGTGATCCAGCCGTATTTCTCTCTGCATAGAAGCCCASAGCCTCCCGGGGTGTCCCAGGTGCCAGAGCAGGCTGAATTAAAAAGTGATTGATTAGACAATTTCACCAAAAAGAAATAATATCCCTCAACGTCTGTTAAACACTAAATTACCCAACTCCTCTTTAGAAAGCCTAGCCAGAGGGTGCTTCYAGACTGCTGCTTCCCTGAAGGTTTGTCCCTGGTGCACCCAGGAGCAGGGAAATGCTGCAGGAGCAGCTCAGCCCATCCTTGGGGGTTGCTCGTGCTCCAAACACCTCCTCTCCCACCAGTGCCCAGTGTCTAGCACCAGGAATGGGAGAAAACCTGTGCTTTTCCATTCAATTAGCATGTAAAAAATGATTATGCAAATGCCACCATGGTGTAAGGGGACCAGACCATTCACATGGGGCACCCAGAATAGCCCTGGTCTTACATCAGGTGCTGACACCCAACTCGGGGGCCACCTCCCCTGGGAGCACCCCCTGCACCCCATTTGCCCTGTCCCTCGCTGTCCTCAGCCTCCTGCAGCAAAGCCCTTCAATAAAACATGAAGCAGTTCCATTTGGTCTCTGCTGAGTCACCAGGGACATCACTAATTAATTTAAAACGTGGGTTGGGGATTTTTGATACTTATTTTTTCCCTTTTCTGCTGTCATAGCCCCATCCCCAGCTCAGGTTTGACTGCAGCAGTGTGTGCTGGCTTCCTTGGGCCAGAAAGACACAATTTGAGGCAAACCTCACAAGAGCTCACCGGAGCTTCCTGGGGACCAGCCTGTCACCCCCAGGAGCATCTTGGGGCACTCAGCTCAGAGGAGCTGACCCTGGTAAAGGGGTGCCATCATCTGGGGCAGTCTGGATGAATCCCCTCCCCTTCAACCGGATTTATTTATTTATGGCCTTTATTTATACACCAGCACCTCCCATCCTCGCCAGGAGGCTTGGAGGGGCTGCCAAAGCAATTAAGAGACAATTGCGATGATAAATAAGTAAAGGGAATTAAAGTGCCGGCACCAGTGTGTGATGGCAGCCAGGCTGGGGGATGGGGGACTGGCTGGATTTAACCCCAGACAGATGGGTGGATGGATTGACAGACAGATGGACGGACAGCCAGACATTGCCAATGCTTTTGAGCCCGGACCACGCGTGGCCGGGACCTTCTGGACCTGCTCGGGGCTTTGCAGGGTCCCTGGGCAGGGCTGGGAGTCCCGGAGCTGTCCCTGCCCACCGTCCCCACGCTGTTACCGCCCCCGGCTGCTCGGTGGCTGCCAGCAACCCCCAACAACCGCGTTTTCATCGGGGGAAAAAAAAATGGAGCTCTAGAGCAGCTTCCCGGGGAAACATTCACGGAGGAGGCGATGCCAGACCAGCTGGGAAGAGGGGCTGAGGGTTGGCATCTCCCTGGGCCAACCTGCCAGCCGGTCACGGACACTTCAGTGTAATCCTGCTGCTGCTCTGGGGTGGAGCTGGAACCTCCCGGCAAAGCCCCGGCTGCATTCCGGGGTCCCGGAGCCTCAATTCGCCAAAGACCCTCTCCCTGCCTGGGGCTGCCTGCCAGCCACGGCCGCCTCTGTTCGCGCCCCAGCCCGGCGGGGAAAGGGCTGTGTCAGACGGACGCGAAGAGAAGAATKAAAGCCGGCTCATCTATCACACCTGATTTATGGCTCCATCAGCCCTGGGAAGGTGGGAGGAATTTTTCCCTTTCTCATTCCCCACAGCACACCTTCCCGGGGCTGCTGTGCCGAGCTGGAGATCCCTCCCTGCCGTTTGCAGCCGTGACAGCATCACTCACTGACCCRAGCCCAGGGCTGTCAGTGCCCCGCACCCCAAAACCTGAGCAAGGAGCAGGAACTCCGGCTCCAGTGCTCRGCTCCAGCCTCTCACAGGCTGACGACTCCTAATAACTCCCGGCGCATTTGCCATTTTCCTTTTCCAGCTTTCCTTTGCCGGAGGAGCTTGTGCCGCGTCTCAGCAGTAACGGGATACGGATGGGGAGGGGGTGTACAGAACCAGGAGTATCCCTATGAAGCCAAGGGTAGCCCCGGAGGACGGAAGAAGGGTCCCCAGCCAGCTGAAAATGTCTCTTTAATGACCTGGACATGGCGTTTCGAGTCCCTTTGAATGAAACCAAAAGGTGACGGCGACACGGCGGCGATGCGTTTGGCGTCCCCGATGTCTCCCTGCCCGTGGGGAGAGCCCGACGCAGCATGTACCAGCTCCTGCCAGGCTCCTCTGACTCCCCCTAAGAGCTCACCGGGCCCCGCCGAGCCGCTCGGAGCATCCCCGGCGGTGCGGGACCCGGGAGGCGCTGGCCGGCCCGTGGGGACACCCGGCCAAGGGGCAGACAGAGGGGCGCGGACACCCCCCCGTGTCCCCATCACACCTCCGACTCCAGGCTGGACACCCGCCGCCAGGACCCGCCGGCGCAGGGACTCGCCACCCCGCGGGCCACCAGCGGGTCCCTCCTCTCGGTCCCCACCGCCCGCAGCAAGGCCAGCTCCCCGCGCCTCCCGCAGTCTCTGCAGGCGCCGTCCCAGCGCCCCGACCCCCGGTCACAGGGGTGCGCTCCGGGGTGCTCCCGGGGCGGCGGGGACCCCCGCGAGAGGTGCCCCGCGTACAGAGCCACGTTGGCGTAGTTCATGCAGGCGTGGGGCGCGCACGCCGGCACGGTGGCGGTGGCACGGGGGTTTTGCCGGCAAGCCTCCCGGTAGGACGGCAGCCTGGTGACGGGCGAGCGCGGTGGCAGCCGGCCAGCGGCCTGTGGGCAGCGGGAGCCGCAGCCGTGGCCGGCTTCGGCTTCGGGGAACAGGTCGGGCACGTCGGCGCGGGCGGGCGGGCGAGCGGCCCCGCAGCGCCGTAGCCCCCCGGGACGCCGCTTSTCGCCGCGCTCGCCGGGAGCCCTGGCCGAGCTCGCCCACCGGCTCGGCTTCTCCCGCTCCATCACCGCCGCCTCCGGCCGCGCCGGCTCGCCCTTGGCTCTGCAAGTCCTGGTGACTTTCGGGAAGGCTCCGCGAGAGCAGGATGGAGGCGGGAAGGMGCTGCCCACCTCCCGCTTCTTCTCCGCTGCCGAGAGCAGCCGGGGCAGRGTCCCTGAGCCCCCGTGCGCCCCGTCCCTCGGGAGCACGGGGGTGTTTTGTAGCCGGTCCCCYCGCCCCGACGGCCGCTTGTGCTCCCTGTAGATGTCCGGTGGTGGGAGGTCCCTGAGGGATGTGGCGGGCGGGAGGGGAGCCCCAATGTGGTTCCCCACCAGCACCTGCTCCCCATAATCCCCTCCTGCGGAAGTCTTGACCAGGAGGTGGGGGAAACCTGTGAGGGCTTCATCCCCTACACAGCCACCCCGAAACTTGACGGGGTGCAGCAGGTGGAGGTGCTCGTTTGCCCCTCTCCAGTTCTCCTCCCCGTAGAGCCGGGAGTCCACGGGGACGGGCTGGGGCAGCGGCAGCCCCGGGGGAGCACCCTTGGGAGTGTAGGCTCTCCCCAGCCTGTCGGCGGGGTGCGGGCCGGCGGGGGGGCCCCGGTGTGCGCCGGTGCTGTTCTGCACCACGAGCTGGGGTGTCCTCAGGGAGAAGGTGGTCTGGAGGCGCTCGCTGTGGTTGCTCCAGTCCTCGATGGTGCGGGTGGCCTGCTCCAGCGAGCCGCCCACGCTGGCCGTGGTCACCATCTCCTTGGCCGCCTGCAGCATCTTCAGCACGTTGGCCTGGGCCGAGCTGGCGGTGACATCGGGTGTGGGKGCCCGCCCGGGGCTCGACAGAGTCTGCACCCCGTTGAAGCAGCTGTAGATGCCCTGTGGGGAGAAATGGGACCACCCCACCGTCAGCAAGGTCAGTGGGGTCCTGCCCCCCTGAACCCGCCCTGCTGAGTGAGTTCATGCTGCTCAGGCTGACGTGGCATCAGAGCACAGATGTCCYCTCCCCRGCATCCCCAGCWCTGTCARTRCGGGTGACACYGTTCTCTATCACCCCCTTCCCCAGGGATGCTCATATGGATGTGGGGTCATTCCCGGGACCAGGCCCTTTTCCAAAAAGCTGGCTTTTCTCCCCAAGAGCTCATATGAACACCAACATCTCCAGTCCCACAATGTGGCTCAAAGAACAATGCCCACCAAGCCGTGTCCATCCGTGGGCCCCTTGAAAGCCCCTGCCAGCATCCCTCACCCTGCTGATGGCCAGAAGGAAATCAAGCTTGTGGGACTTGGGGACGGAGTGACGCAGCTTCCAGTAGACGAGGTGCTCCCAGGCAAAGACCAGCAGGCTCAGCCCCATGGCCACCAGCAGCATGTAGAAAACCCCGGCCATGTTGTCGATGTCCAGCTTGCTGCTCATCACCTCGTTCTTCTCATTCTGGCAGATCCCTGACAGCCAAACYGTCTCCAGCTTCTGGGTCTCACCTGGGACACGCACAACAGCGCAGGTGGTGAAAATCCACCCCTGGGAATCGTCTTCCCAAGCACATCCCTGCCCATCTCCACCCCACTGGGGCTGGAGGAGGAGACTCTCAACCCCCTGGAGCTGTAATCGCGTGGTCCTTGCTGCTGCCCTTGGCCTGAGCATCCCACCWGTCACTTGTCCCTCTCCTGACTGTYCCCCTCCCATGTCCCRGCCAGCCACGCWTAGTGTCCTCTTSCCAGGCTCCTCCTCATGCTGTGCAYTGCCATCTCCAGGATTTTACAGCCCCAGAGGGAATGACCCCCACAGGATTTACAATCCCCCTCAGTGCCACCCCGCCATGAGGATGAGAGCCACGAAGGCTGCGCGGGGTTTGAGGAGCGAAGCCCTGTGGCCTGGGTTAATCTGCAGGGCAGGGGTGGTGTGAGGATGGCGACAGGGCTAACGAGGAGCTCCTGCAGGCACGCACCGTCTCCCAGGAACTGGAGCAGGGCCAGGTCAATGGCCCGCTTCCAGCGTGAGTCTTTCTGCAGGGCGATGCCGTAGCCCGTGGTGGCGAACACCTTCCCGCTGCCGATGGTCACCAGCTTGCAGCCCTCGTCCTTGCCCGCCATGTAGTTGAGCACCGCCGCGTCGTAGATGAAGGCGTCCAGCTTCCTGCCCCACCGACAGGAGGGAGGGTGAAGCGGGGTCTGATRGCCTGTTTTTGGGGGGTCTGTGCCTATCTGGGGGAGCTCTACCCCTTTCACAAAGCTGCAGCCCATCTGGAGGGGTTCCATGCGCTTTTGGGGTCCCTGACCCATCCTGGAGAGCTGTAACCACACTTGGGGGGAACTACCCAGTCTTGGGGGCAGTTGTGACCCATTTTGGGGAGCTGTGCCCCATCCCGTTTGAGGGGAGCTCTCTGAAGCTGCACCCCATCTGCAGCAGGCTGTGCCCTGTTTGGGGGGGCCTGTACCTCATGAGGGGAAGATGCACAGAGCCATGTCCCGCCTGGGAGAGCTGTACCCAGCCTGGGGGCCCACATCCAACTTGGGGAGGGGTTTGTACCCCAGTTGAGGAACCCCTGCTCCATCTGGGACATTCTGTACCCCATTCCATGGAGCCACAGTTATTTGGGGCATGCTGTATCCCATTTGGAGGAACTGTACCCCAGCTCTGAGAACTTTACCCCATCCAGGGAAGCCATACCCCATCTGGGGGAGCCATACCCTATCTGGGGGAGCCATACCCCGTCTGGGGGAGCCATACCCTATCTGGGGGAGCCATACCCCCTCCAGTGAAGTCATACCCCATCCAGGGAAGCCATACCCCATCTGGGGGAGCCATACCCCATCTGGGGGAGCCATACCCTATCTGGGGGAGCCATACCCCATCCAGGGAAGCCATACCCCATCTGGGGGAGCCATACCCCATATGGGGGGGTCATACCCGGTCTGGGGGAGCCGTACCCCATTTTGAGGCTGGTGAGGGCGTCCTCCACGGAGCGCTGGTTGTATTTCACCATGTGGGTGTGCATGTCGGGGTAGTTGCTGCGGATGTTCCTCTCGGTGCTGCCGTTGGGGACAGTGCCAAAGCGGAAGGGCGGGTACTGCTCCTGCGGCCTCTGGAACTGCAACAGGGAGCCCCAGGGGGTGGCATCACACCGTGCCCATGTCCCCAGCATGTCCCCTCCCCACAGCCAGCCCTCTACCCATGCACCTAACACCCAGCCAGCTGGCAGTGGTGTGTAGCAATGCAGCACACCAAAAACGTTGGTTTTTTAGGGATTTTTTAGGTCAGCCCCACCTTCCTGTCGCTGAGCCCCGACACGGTGTCAATGTACTGCTCCTGGATCATGAAGGCGGCCAGGTTGGCCGTGTAGCTGGCGAGGAAGATGACGGCGAAGAAGGCCCAGATGAGCACCATGATCTTGCTGGTGGTGCCCTTGGGGTTCTCGATGGGCACTGAGTTGTTGAAGACCAGCGCCCACAGCAGCCACACGGACTTGCCGATGGTGAAGGTGGGACCTCCCGGCCCTGGGGGCACAGGGGACAGAGGGGACAGTTGTCAGCCCAGCCAGGGACRTGTCCCAACTCCCAGCTGCCACCTCCCCAACTCACTCTTGGCGCTGGTGAGGTTCTGGTTGTAGCCAACRGGGCTGAAATACTCGAACACGAAGACGGTGATGGCCACCACAGTGAGGCACATGACGAACATCATGACCCACACGGCCGGGCTGTAAGGCTCTGCAAGGCAAGTGGAGCTCTGTCAGCCTCCTGGGGCAACCTCTGAGGACTACCAGGAGCCCTCCCTGATGGATGGGGCTCATCCTGAATATCGGCCCTTCATGGGGAGGAATCGGGGGCGGCACACCGTGGCCAAGCAGCTCCACAGAGGATCAGGAGGGAAGGGGGTTGCTGCAGAGCTGGGGATTGCTGCAGAGCTTCCCTGCCTAGACCAAATCAGGCTGTCATCAACATCAACAAAATCAGACGTTTACAAAATGCTGCCCATCTCCAGGGTCACTGGCAGGAGGGCTTCCAGTGGGATCACAGGTTCTCCCCCCGTGATGCCTCAGGCATAGAACCAGCCCCCAGCCCCGCTCAGCCCTGGGGAGAGCCCCCCACGAGCAGGGACAGGCAGTGAGCCCCTGCCTGCCCGGGATGGTGTGGGATGGAGCAGCGGGAGCGGTGGGGATGCGTCTGAGCCGTCAACGCGCGGCCGCCGAGGTCCATTTGTCAGCGCGTCCTTCGCTGTCAGCGAGGAGAGGCCTCCCCTGATGGGGATGTGGCTCATTAGTGCGGAGACAGGAGACACGGGGACACGGGGACAGGGGGACAGGGGGACAGGGGGACAGGGGGACAGGGGGACAGGGGGACCGCGGACCCCGGCTCTGCCACACCGGGGCAGGATGCTGTGTGTCCCGGGGGCTGGTGAAGGTGACCCTGCCTCCATGGGAGGTCGGGCTCTGTGGCACAGGGGGACAGGACGAGGGAGATGTGGCGCTGTCCCACCTGCCATGGCACCCCTGACACCCTCCCCACACAGGAGCTCCAGCCGAGCTGGGACATCGCTGCTGTGCCCTTGCCGAGAGCCCTGCCCGAGCTGAATTTCCTGACGACCTTGGCCAGTCTCCTCCCTTTCCTAGGCTGCAGCTTTGCTGGTTTAAAACTCATTAAATAAAACTTTTAGCTCTGGCTGTTTCCTACACCCGGCTTAGCCATCGGCTCTGTGATGGTGGCAGAGATGGGTCCCCAAAGCAGAGCTCTGAGCTGGCAAATCCCCCCACGTCCCCATCCTCCCTCTTGCACACAAAAAATGAAGAGGAGAAAACCACTGAGCCCAGCCTCACTCTCCAGCCTCCATCTCCATAATAAAAGGATTATTCAGGCAGGGAAGGAGGAAGCCCCAAAGCCGACAGCACAATCTCCTTCCTTTATGACTTAGGCTTTTTTTTTTTCTTTCTTGAAAGTTATTAAAACTGAACAATATTTCCAATTTGCATTTGTGGCAAGCASGGGATGAAGCTGCAGACAGACAGGGGGACGCAGGGCTCACCCAGGAAGGCGGARGGGGACACGGTGCCGTTGCTCCGGGCCACCATGACGCTGATGCCCGTCTCCACAAAGGGCACGGAGAAATCCACGATCTCGGAGCGCTCCTCGTTGATGGTGAGGGAGCCAATGGCCATGTCTGCGCGCTTGTAGTACACCTGGAAAAGGGGCAGCTGTGTTTGGGATGGGCAGAGGGATGAGCAGAGGGACCCAGACCACTTTCCCCATCCATTTTCTCATCCCAGCATTTCCAGACTTAATTTATGCCTTATGAAAAAAAATTTAAAATGAGCTTTTTAAGTGACCAGTGGCACAAACACAACCCGCTGCAGGCTTGCAAACATTCGTCTGACTCCTCCTTCAAAGAGGAGCTCACGCCAAGCTGCCCCGTGCCCACAGTCCCACCACAGAAACCCTGATCCCAATCCCCACCAGGAGAGCCCCAGATCAGGGGTGAGCGGTGCCCTCCAGGGTGTGTCAAAGTGGGGATGTGAGCCATGTCCAGCCCTACCTCGCCGATCATGCCGTTCCACACCCCACGGACGATCTTGCCGTGCTTGCCGTTGGTCACCAGGTAGAGGTCRTAGGAGAATTTCACCGCCTTGGCCAGCTTCTTGAGGATGTCGATGCAGAAGCCCTTGCAGCACAGCTTGGTGTAGGGATCCACAAGACCATCACCACTGGGAACACACCGGGAATGATGGGTTGGGCCAACCAGAGACTATCTGAGCACCCCGGTGTCCCAAACTGCGGGGCCCCGTGGCTCTGCTCACCTCTGGGAGGAGTTGGTCTGCTTGCGGCAGGGCACGGTGTTGCGCACGCACACCCCCGTGCTGGGGTCCGTGTTCTCCACGATGACAAAGGGTCTCTCCTCCAGGGTGGCCACTGTCAGGTGGCGGTTGTCCACCACGGGCTGCATGAGGGAGCCGTAGCGGGGCCACACTGGGTACTTCATGTGGATGATGCCTTTGTCCCACTTGCCCACCTGGCCCCAAGGGAGAGCACACGGTCAGCACAGTGAAGGGCTCTGGGGGTCACACGGGATCCCATATCCACCCTCACATCTTTGGGGCTTTTCATGGTGAGCCCCATTTCAGCATGCCTTCCCCCTGGACCACAATGTGAGGTGTTTGCCAAACTTCACCCAAAATACATCAAACTAACAAAAAAAACCCTCCACACAGCTTGTTCCAGGTCTAGGTGTTTGGCTGCTGTTCTCCTGAGGTCCTTGTTTGCATTTTTGCCTTTTTTTGGAACCTGTCAGCCAAATTGCAGGGGGAAAGTGACAGTTCTTGGCAGAGCTTTGGTGCCCATCATTGCTGCAAAGCCCCACCATGGATACTTTTGGGACCAGCCATGGGTTGGTTGTGCACGGTACAACCCACCCCAGGGTGGGACCCAGCCTGTGCACGGCCCCAGCTCACCCTGCCCAGCCACCCTCCAGTGTGCTGCCCATCCCGGGGGGCCTGGGGGTCCTACCATCTCCCAGAGCCGGTGCTGGTTGAGCGTGATCACCACCATGGTGGGCCTGACCAGGTAGCCACCTTCATTGAAGGAGAAGTCCCTGTGCTCCCATGTCACATTGAGGAGGTGCCTGGTGGGACACAGAGCCCATAAGCCTCTGACTGTGCACCCCTGCTCTGCCTCACCCTCCTCCTTTTCTTCCTCCWGCTTCAGCCAGGCTGCCACAGGTGCCATGGCTGAGAGCTGGGGACCAGCTTTAGCCCCCRTGCAAAGGGCAGAGGGGAGCAGGAGGAAGCTCTTCCAGCAAGGAGACCCCAAGGATGATGGCCCACTGCAGATCTGGGGATGCACAGACTGCCACAGCAGCCCAAAGGGGCCACAGAGCAATGAAACACCCACTGAAACCCCCTTGGGTCCCAGGTTGCCAAGAAACATGAGAAAAGGCGAGGGCTGCTCCGGGGAGATGCCCCAGGAGAATCCAAGCATCATTCCCCTGCCCACCAGCTCATCCCCCCCTGCTCCCCTGCCCTTCCCTCTCCATTTCCCCCCTCCTCCACCTCCCCCCATCCCCGAGCCTCACCGGTAGAAGCTGGTGTTGGTGTTGGTGGCCCTGGCGGGGGCCCAGCAGTCCCGCCCCACGTCCGGCAGGTAGCCGTGGGCACGGAAGAAGCTGGCCGCCCCCATGGCGATGATGGCCACCCCATCCCGCACCTTCTGCCGCAGGCTCAGCTTCCAGCTCTCYGTCACCACGCTGATGAGGCCGACGGGGAAGGAGGAGGGCGGCACCTCCATGTTGCCCACGGTCATGCTGGGCACGATCCAGACGTAGCCCGGCCCCACCAGCCCGGCTTGTTCCGCCATGGAGAACAGGTACTCGGCCTCCTCTCGGGAGCAGTAAACGATCAGGACCTGGGCGTCGATCTGGCGCAGGAGCCGCTGCGTCCTGGAGTTGCTCTGCTCCTGGCTCATCTCGAAGGTGAGCACCTCCTGCAGCTCCCAGCCGAAGTAGCTGGCATCCGTGAAGGAGCGGATGACGTCCAGGAAGATGTTGTAGCCTGGGTAGAGGCTGGTGATGACAGCGAAGGAGCCCCAGTCGTATTCCTCCAGCACCTTGAAGATCACCTGGATCTGCTGCTCGATGGAGACACCCAACTGCAGGAAAGCTGATCCTGGCTCCTGCAGGAGGAGAAGGGGTCAGGGACGGCTCTGGCATCGTGATCCAGGCCTCCTGCACCCGTGCAAGCTTCCTTGAATTTGCCATTGTCAAAAGTTCGAGGGTGCCGTGAACTGGTACGGTGCATGGGCTGGAGACACCCAGAATCACACTGATCCTCCTCCAAAGCAGCTCACCCCACAAAAAGGGACAATTCCTGCAGCCTCGCATCCGTTTCTCAGCTTATTGACCAAAAATTCATCCAAGCTCCAGAGCAGATCAACAGTTTCTCCTTGCACCAGGAGAAGGAGTAGGGCAAGAGCTCTGCCAGGAGCATAAATCCCATCCCTGCTCCGTCTCACTACCTGCAGCCCGAGCCTGTGCAGCTCCTTCCCTCCCGCCCCACCTCCCCGGCCATCTGGCCTCTCATTAGCAAACCTTAATTGATCTGATTCTGTCTTAAATGATTCAGCGAATGGCATTTGCCCAAGGTCACGTGCAGGCTGCAGGGTTTTGCCCCCCAGACCCTTTCCACYTCCAGAGAGGTGGTCTGGGGTGAGCCCCAGGAAGTCCCAGATAAGGAGCAGGAGATGGATCCCTCTGCAGACCCCAAAATTCCCAACCCCTGGAGAAAGCAGAAAATCACCCAGACCACAGCAAAGCCATGAATTTTTTTTCCATTGCTCTGGACTCCATCTGAGCCCTCTGCACCCAGCTGTGTCCACTGCACCCACTGCCACCCACCCACAGTGATCTCGGGGTGCTCCAGGGGTACCCGTGGGTACAGGCAGGGCTGTGGGGCTGTCATCCAGGGGGTTGGACCCCAAACCACTGTGCAAGAGAAGCACAAAAACTCTCCCAGGCACAGGAAATTGCATTGAGACCCCTCCAGCRCCCAGGCTGGGCAGGGTGGGATGRGCAGCCATAAGGAGATAACCCAAATTTCCTCACCCATCACCACATGCCCAGCACCCTCCAGCTCTCCCTGCCACCAGCGCTTCTCAGCAGGCAGGTGACAATAACTGGCAGTGTCTGATGCCAGCAAGGAGCAGAGAAGACAAAAATCCTGTTTTGGCTGTGGTGCACCCGAGATCACCACCCCATGGTGAGGGGTTTCTCCATGTTACCCACCCRGCCATTCCAGAGCTGGATCCAGCCATGGAGGAGGGCGAGGTCAGGACARCCCTGCCCTGCCCCAGGAGCCCCAGTGCCACCAACCCATGGTGGGCACAGCAAGCAGCACACCAAGGATTGTCCTTCCACAGGGTGCTGAGGTCTCTCTCACGTCCCATCAGCAGGGCCCCTCCTCGAACTCCACACCATGTCCCTCCATCCCAGTCAGCCCCACTGCCACTGCCACTGCCTGTTCCTGTCCCTGATCCCAAATGCCGCAGCCCAGCAGCTCCTCTGCCCTCCAGCATCCACATCCCTTCCCTACCCCTCTCTAATAATTCCTAATTTCTCTCATCCCCCCTGGAAACACCCGCGAGTGAGTGCCTCACCTTCGGGCTCAGCACCACGGCAGAGCCGCCGCTGATGCTGATGATGGGGACCTGGGTCTGGGAGGAGATGAAGTCCAGGATCTGGGCCACGGCCTCCGTGCCCACGTTATCTTCAAAGACGATGCCGTGGATCTTGTGGCCGGCGAGGATGTCGCAGATTTGGGTGAGGAGGGTGCTGGGGTTGGTGTTGTTGACGACGACGGTGATGGGGTGGATCTCCAGGGGCATGTCCAGGAAGCTCTGGGGGCTCAGGCGGGAGCGGATGTGCAGGGGGTAGGACGTGCCCCCGAACACCACGGCCACGTTGACCACCGGCTCCTCGGGGCYGGGCAGCAGGATGTCCGTGAAGGCAGCCGAGCAGCCCAGCACCATCGACAGTAGCAGAGCGTGCGCCGGCGCTCTGCCCATGTCCACCAGCGCGTCCCTGCCGGCACAGACACAGCCCCTCGCATCCAGCCGAGCCCAGGAACCCAGCCCCGCTCGGCCCAGCCCTCCCCGCTGCCCTGGGGCATCAGCGGTGCGGGCTGACCCCAGGGAACGAGGGGACGCTCACCCTTCGGACAGTGGATGTGGTGAAGGAATGACCACGGGGCTGTGCTCACCACCCRCGGCACACCTCCGTGCTGTGTCACTTGTCTGCGGTCCTATCCACCACTAACCCTTCACAGACTGTCCCTGCTTACCACCACCACCCTGTCCCCATCCCACTGCCACCACCTCCCTCCCACTGCCCTCCCACCCCATCCCAAAACCACCGCTGCTGCACTGGTCCATATCGTCCCTTCAGCCAGGGACAGGGACAGCTGCAAGAGGTGCCAGGCAGCTCCCTGGTGCCTCTCTCTGCAGTGGACAGCCCCTTTCAATATTTAAAGGCTTTTCCCTTGAGGGAGGGTTCAGCTCTGCACCCCGCTTGTTGAGATTTTTGCGAATCACAATCACTGGAGCAGCCGCCCCCTGCCTGTCCCCCTGTCCGTCCCCCACCTATCACCGTGCCTCAGACCCTTCTCTGCCACAAAATCCCAACCAGGGCACCTATCTGGCTCCTCATCTCCAAGTTTCCCCCTTACACAGCATCCTTCAGCTTTCTTCCTGCCGTGTGTGTCCCCTGCTGGCTCTGCCCGCCCAGCTGGGACACCCTTCACACTGTCTSTGCTGGCTGCACCCCAAATCCAGGCTCTCAGGGGCTGTTTGGGCACTTCCCCCTGCCAGCTCCCCAGTTCCACACTGCCAGTGCGTGCACACTCTGCAGCATTTGGGGTGACAGTCCCCTGAAAGGGGACACATCCCTACCCACCCGGATGCACCCCCATCACCCCTCGGAGCCCAGCAGCATAACCAAGCCCCTGTGAGCCCCATTTCCCCCAGGGCTGTCACCCCGGTGCCAAGCTGGGCAGCGGGGAGGGGGACAAGCAGCCCTGCACGGTGGCACCAGCCACATGCCGGTGTCGCCTCATGCAGCAAGGTGCCAGCTGGCGCTCGGAAACGTCACTTGCAATTAAAAGCTGCTGTTGCTTATCGTGTCTCCAGCACAGCCAGAGGCTCCTCTCACTGAGTCCTGGATGGTTTTGGGGTCTGGGCTGCCCCAGTGACCTGCACCCCAACACTCCTGCGTGCCGCAGTGACGGACACCCCCTCCGCACGCTGCGAAAACGCTGCCGGCGCATTGGACTGAAAATGCAGGATATAAACCCAAARGCTGCGGGCTGGGCACCCTGCAAGAGCTGCTCGGTGCAGATCTGAGCACCAGGGCTCTCACCTCCAGAGGAACAGGGGATACAATTCCCTCCTGTACCCCGTGGGTACCAGGAATACTCGGGCACCTGTCTGGGCACTGATGACCACTCATCTCTCTCAACCAGGTGAGTTTGGCTAGAGAATCACCCACCCCCAGCACCCACCATCACCCGGGGGGTTCACCTGACTGCATCCCCCACCCCACTGCACATCACAGCTGCTGGAGCTGCAGGAGCCACGATGCCACCCCGATGGCCACAGCCAGGGCCCCTTGGCCACAGAGGGCAGCARGTGACTCATGCCAGCCTGGCAGCGTCCCACGCTCCGGCACGGCCAGCTCGGTGGCAGGGCAGCCTGCGCCGCCTGCTCCTCACTGCGAATTCCCAAGTATTTTTAGTCCCATGATAAATAATTCATTGGGAATCCGGCATCAGCTACCCGAGCGGAGAGGAAGGGGAGCAACACRCCACCCAAAACAAACAGAACCGCCCTGGCAGCAGCGCTGCCCGTCTGAGCCCTCCTCAAGGACGTTTAAATATACTCTGGGCCCTCGTGGTGATTGATGGGGTTTGCTGGTGCCAGCCCTGGCACCTCACCTATTCCGGGCCTTTATCCTCCTCTTCCTCAACCCAGCTCYTGCCCAAACTCTGGAGCCTCTTTGAGCACTGAGCAATCCAGGCACAGAGCAGGGGATGCCCCTGCACTCCAAGCAATGTCACCCCCTGCTCCTGGCTGTGACAGGGGACAGGGCTGRTCCCTCTGGTTTCCCATGGACTAAGCCACAGGTGGAAAACATCCCCATCCCTCCCAGCCGGAACGCGACTGAGGTGGCCACGGGCTCATCCCATCGTTCAGCAGAGCTGAGGGCAATGAATTCCCTGCCTAGGATGGGATCCACCACCCAGAGCCAGGCTGGCTCACCACAGCCCTTGGGGRCCATGGAAGAGGATGGAGGGATTTGAGGCCAGGGAGCCCGTGGCTGGCAAGGACTCCGTGTGCAGGTTGGAGACAGGGCTGCTCCAAAATGGCCGGATTTGGGAGGAAAAGGGCAGCCAGCTCCTCCAGCCCAGCCAACACCGGGCCTTTCCAGCCCATCTTTTCTTGGAGTGAACTRGAGAGGTGCAGGAAAATTTGTATTTTTTTGGGGGGGGATGGCAGACTGCAGGAAAGTGGTGGAGGCTGAGGAGAAACTGAGCCCATCCTATCCAACTATTGCCAGAGCTGGGGCCGCCCTTGGGCTCAGCACCACACAGCACAGCCCACACTGACTTCAAAAAAAATCCACATTTTTCAGCCCCTTGTAGGATGCACTGCAGAGCGGGTCCCTTGAGAAAGAGCTTTTGGAAAGGGAGGTTTTGGGTTTTCCAGCCCGGTGAAGGGCCAGCGGCCAGGCTGGGTCAGGAGGAAGGTGGCCGTGGCCAGGAGCCTGGGCAAGGCAATGCCACCTCCTGGCAGCCTCCCCAGGGACCAGAGGACACCACAAAGCCTCTTGGTGGCTTCAGCACTTGTTTTTGCTTCTTTTGGGGCAGTTTTGAACAGTTTAACCCCCTTCCTAGGCACAACTTCCCCTGGTGCACTGAAGCCACAGAAACCTCCTTCTAAAGACACCGACAGAACCCTTAAGCCCCAGCAGCCCCTCAAATGTCATTTTAATGCAACAGGGAAAGTTTTCTCCTAATCTTAAACCTTTTTTTCCTCACTCCCTCCCCTGCTCCAAGAGAGGAGGAGGTCATGCAGATATTTTGACTTCAGGAAAGGGAGAAATAAAATCCCGAAATGCAAAATATCATTCAGGAAAGAGAAACCTTATCCCGGAAAACAAAAAAAAAAAAAAAAAAAAAAAAAAAGCCTCCGAGCCTGAAATCAGAGGGAAAACGCAGCCTGCGCCAGGGGATGGGGAAGTGCTGCTGATGGACGGAAAGGACAGAGCGAAGCCAAACCTGGCGGGGAGGAGAGGGGGCACAGAGGAGGGCAACGGAATGTGCCAGGGCTTGTCATTGCCCCGATGGGGACACCCGTGTGGAGCAAGGAGACCTCGATGAAGCCCCTCAGAGGAGGAGAAAGCAGCAAAACCTCCCCCAAAGACAACTCGTCACCATCGCTGTCCCCACGCAGGGGGGATGACTCGGGAGAGAGCAGCGCTGGCAGCCCCCGGCGAGCACCGTCTCCTTTCAACCTTCATCCGTCACCAGCCGGCATCACCCTCCTCTTCCTCACCACCCTCCCCTTCCTCGCCCGCACCTCCGACAGCAACAGTTGCGGGCCGGGGGCTGCGGGCCGGGGAGATGGCGAGGGCCCCACACACGCACGCACCGAAACGCAGCTTAAAAAGGTCGAATATGGATTAACCAAAAATAAACGCCAAGTGTCCTGCCTGCCGCTGGGTTACGCAAGGTGGCGGCGGGGGACACAGGGCTGGTGGCACCCAGGGAGGTCTCCTCAATTTTTTCTGCCTCTCACTGCCCCCCAAAAACCCCCAAGAACAGCGCCCAGGATTAAGGTTCGCTTCCGTCCCGTGCCTGGGATGGGGAACAGGAGCTCGGGGGATGCGGGGGGCACTGAGGAAGGGGAAGACGGACAGAGAAACCCCCCACCCCCCAAAAAACCACCCGCCTCGTCCCTAAAAGTTGCTGTCGGCCGTGGCGTGGCGGCAGCGGAGCCCGTCGGGCCCCGGTTGCCCCCAGCCCGCCCGGTACTTACGGGACCGCCGCTGCTCGGTGCCTACATGCCCCGCGGCTCCGGCGGGGCTCGTCCCACCGGGGGCTCGGCTCTTGCAAAGCCTCTCCTGCTGCGGGGCAGCCCCCCGGGGCAGGGTCGGCCCCCGCCGCGGCTGGCGGGGGGCTCCGGCGGCCGCCGTCGGTCCCGGCTCGTCCTTGGCGGCGGCGGCGGCGGCGGCGGCTCTGCAGCGGCGGCTGGAGGCAGGGACGGGAGCGGAGGAAGGAGGGAGCGGGAGCGGAGCGGGTGTGCACGGGGGGGGGCCCGGTGGCAGCAGGTGTCTCGGCGACCTCCGAGCCCCGGCAGCCATCTCCCCCCGCCCCGGGACCGGCGGGGCTGCCCGGGCGGGACGGCCGGCACAGCGCGGGGGAGGGATGCGGGGATGGAGGCTGGGGGGAGCCCGGGGGCGGTGGAAGGACAGGACGTGTGTCCTCCCGCCTCGCCGCAACTTCGGGGCTGGCCGCCAGCCCCGGTGGAAGGAGGGGGGACGGGGGACGGGCAGCCCTCCCTCCCGAAACCGGCCCGCCTCTCCTGGCACCGGGGCCGGCCCCAGCGCTGGAGAGAGAAGGGGACAAGACCCCCCTCCCACACACACACTTTCCTTCGCCCCTCTCCTCCATCTCCAGGAGGGAAAACCCATGGCAAAATGACACAGTCCCCCTCTGTGGGCACTGCCCGTCCCCAGCCCCAGGGAGCGCTGGAGCAGTGCGGTTGGACTCACTCCCTCCCGCCAGTATCTTCCATCCCTTTGCTGACTGAACTGGTGGGCACTGGCCAGCTGCCCACCCTGGTGCCCCCCGGCCGGCGCAGGGCAGCCCCGGGGTCCCCATCGGTCACAGGGAGGGGGGGTGACACGGAGCAAAGCCCCCGCAGGCAGCAGCATCCTCCAGCTGTCGCCAGGGCCAGTATTAAAGCATCAGCTGATCCCGCAGCACTGGTTTAGAGCGAGCCAGACTGGGGGACAGAGGGGGGAGGAAAGGGGGGAGATACAGTAAAGGAGAGCGGGAGACAGGCAGGGACCCTGCTGGGGATCCCTTGTCGCTGGCTGGGTGCCCACTCTGCCCCAAAACGAGCCCGTGGCTGCCGGCAGAGGCACCGCGGCTCCGGCAGGACCTGGCAGGAGTTAGAGCCCACTGTGGGGGGCAGATTCTCCCAAACCTCCCCATGGCCCGGCTCAGAGCCTCCAAAACCCGGGGATCGCCCCGAGAGCACCTGCCCTCTCCAGCAGAGCCGGGTGCCAGCAGCGCCCGTGCCCTTCTGCCCTCCCCAGGGACAGATGCCTGGCTCGGGGACAGGGCCACCCAAGCGGGCTGCTGGGTGCCTGCCACCCAGGCTGGCCCTGCAGCCACCTGCAGCAGCATCCTTGTGCCTGCTGGGCTCGGAGAAGCCGTTTGCAGAGAGGTTTCAACCTGCTGAAAATCTCCTGCGTGTGCTCAGCCGTGAGCTGCCTGATGCGGGAGCTCCACACATCATCCCCCGGGGCAGCCTGGCCACCTGCTGCCCAGGTGCTGTGGGTGCCTTCGGGGCACCTCGGGGGTGAAAGAGATGCCAAAAAAAAATAGGGAAAGGAAAAATGCATCTGGGGCTACATTTTAATCCCTGTAAAGCAGCACCCGCTGTCTCTGCAGGAGAGCTCAGCCAAATCTCTGAGGCTGCTGCAGTGCGGGGGCTCAGGGCAGTGGGGATCTCTCCTGTYCTGGGTACCTGCTGGCCATGTCCTGCTCCCCCAGCCCACCTCGCCCCGATTCTGGCAGCGCTGCCWCTCTCCTGCCCAAAGAGAGGAGATYTGAGTGTTGGCAACAGGTCCATGCCTCAAATTCTTCTCCCAGGAGGACAAAAGGGCCGATTTTGGGTTGAACATTGAAGGAGGCAGCGGCTGCATTTAACCCTTTCTGTGGCCTTCATGGTCCAATGTGATCCAGCTTTCCAGGGATCTGGTCCCTTGGGACTGGCATAGAAGGACTGAGCTGCTCCCATGCCCTTATTGCCCCTCCAGCAGCTCAGGGGCTTCATTTATCCCTCCCAGGACTCTGGAGAGTCTTGGCTCACAAATATTTCCCAGAAAAGCTTCCATGTGGGTTTAGGGGGGCAACAGCAACCCCACACCTGGGACAGCACCCAGCTCCACCATCACACCCAGGACTGCCCAGCATCCCCAACCCATGGGACATTTAATCCCCCTCACAGCCCAATTCCCACACGTGAGACAGAGAAAAACCCAAGTTTGGTGCACAGCTGGGCACAGCTGGAGAATGCCTGCAGTGGAGACAAGCAGTGGAAGGCAAGGACTCGAGGTGATATGCTCCTGCCAGGCCCCCAGCCACATCTCCTGTCCCTTGGGTCCAGTGGCTTGCAGTGAGCAGCTGCAATGAGAGCCCARCTCCAGGTTTGCAATTTTCCTGGCAAAATCCTTCAGTTTGTTTTTAGAAAATGAAAACCYCAACATTTTTCTGGGGGAAAATGCAGCGAATCCCCAAATCCAACCTGCTTTTGTGGGCCACCAGACACAATGAAGCTTGTGGAGGCTGTTCTGCATCATCAAAATAATTTATTTGTACATTTAAACACCTAAAATCCTTCTTGTGTTAAAAATTGCCCTGATGGCTACAAAGGTCCAGGTTGAAACAAAAGCACTAATGGCACTCCAAGATGAAACCCACAACCCCAGGAAATAAAGTTGGATTTTTCCTCTTATTTCCCCATCCCCTTGGTGCCATCCTGTCCGGGAATGCTGTGCTCTCTTTTCCCAGCTTTCTGGGGCACAAAGCTGCCTTTCTCCACCTTCACCCTCCTCCTTGCCAGGCCGTGGTAGTGCCCCRATGTGGGACCCTTGGCATCCCAGCTGGTCCCTTCAGCACAGCCCCGGCAAGAGGGAGCTCTGCCAGCTTCTCCATCGCCTCGTTACCTTTCCCTGGCATCTCCTCTCGCAGGAGGCTCTGTGAGCAGGTTGATAAATGCGAGGCACGGTGCTCCGACAGCTCCTGGTGTGCAGCCACCTCCTGCAGGGAAGAGCTCGCTGGCAGACGGGCCAGGGGAGCAGAGGGGATGTGGAAGGGTGGTGGTGGCACCCTGATGTTTGTCCAGCCTTGCACTGACCCACCCAGGCCAACAGCGGTGTTGGAGAAGTGCCCTGGGCTCYGTGCAGGCTCCTCAGAGCCCATTGCAACCCCAGTGGCACCTCACATCCTAAACTGTGTAAAGCCCCACCTCCTGCCCCAGCCGCCTCCATTCTGGTCCCCTCAGACCTCCAGCTCTGCAGAGCCCATGGGAGCCCCCAAGTCCAGCATGAACCTGCACCCCAGACCCAAAGCACCCACCCCAGGGCACATCCAMAGCCAGGTCAGCAGCACACCGAGGCTTTGGTATCTCCAGCTCTGCTGGGCAAATGCCAGCATCAGCCTCCTGTTTGTAGGAGAAAAAAAGCTGAAGGTTTTTAACCCATGTGCATCCTAAACCAGGGCTTGGGGAAGGAGAGGAGCTGGGTCTGGAAGGGCAGGGTGGCATCTGGGGTGACASAGCCTGCTTGGGCTGTCCCCACAGGCACCTGCATCTCTCTAATGGCATCTGACAGCAGATGTCACGGGTCTCTCTGCCAGAATGGAGTCTTGCCAGTGACACTTGTGACACCTGAGATTTGGCCATGGACCCACACCCGTTCCCTGCCCCACACCCATCCCGGTCCTGCATCCATCCCAATCCTGCGTGTTGGCTGCCAACCTTCCCCTCCCAAGAAGTCTGACCAAAAATTAAGGTCTGAGCCCACCTATTCCTCYGAGACTCACTTAAGAACTAAACACAGGTGTAGATCATCTTCCCCCACCCTGTGCCCCCTTGAGCTGACAGGACCACCCTTCCTTCCCCACCTCCCCTTCTGCTCCATCCCACAGGGATTTCAAGGCTCAATGCTTAAATAACCACACAGAGCTGGCCGGTATCTCGGATCCCAGCAGCCACAAGAGGAATTGAATCGGAGAATGGAACAAGGAGAAAGGTGGGACAGCAGTCACGGGGATGGTGCTGTGCATGGTGCACAGCTCCGACCTGGCACAGCTCCGCTCCGCTGCCACCACGTCCTACCCTCGCGGTAATTAAGGGAGCAAAAATAAACAGGGCTGKTTTCATCCCTGCAGGGATAATTCCTCCTCCTGGGGTGGAGTGTGCCTGCAGGACTGCCCCAGAGGTTGGGGATGAGGCAAACAAAGCTTCTGGAAATGGAAATTTCCCAGGAAGGAAGGAAATCRCTTCTTTCTGGGGCGTAACCAGCCATCACCCTCCAACAACTTCATTTGCCRCTGTCGTATCCCTAAATAACTCCTGGAAACAGCTGCTTGGAGTTTGCATCTTCTTCACCTCTGCTCCTCTCCTGACCTTGGGAAATGGGCTTATGCAGTGCCAATTTCTGAAGTAATTCATCCCAAGCAGAGGGGAAACATCTGGACTTGCAGCATCACTACCTGACCCTACACAACCCTTGAACCATGAGCAAGACTTTGGCAAGAGCAGAACCACAGCAAAGCTGGATTTGTGAGGCAGGGAGTGGAAACCATGAGTGGGTCGGGAGTCAAGGATGTGCTTGGGATTCTYTGGGAGAGGGGATGATGCTGTTTCTGGAGTGAAGGGGCTCTCTGGGCGCTGTGGGGCTGGTGTGCTGTTCCAACAACCCCAGAGCTCGGTACCCCAACGTGTTCCCCATCGCTGCCTGGGGCTGGGTATGGATCTGGAGGGGAAGAGCACATGAGGAAGGTGCCCAGAGAGCAGCAGCCAGGGTGGGCTGAGGCAGGGGCCGGTGCTGCGCTCAGCCAAGGCGCTGAAGTCAGCACTCTCCGGAGCCATCTGTTCCCGGCGAGGCCCCGGCGCAGACGGGCTCGCCCCGGCTCCCGGCAGCTCCCGGTGCCGCAATTCGGTGATGCATGCGGCGAGGGGCCGGCACACAGCCGGACACCGCCTCTGCGCCACGCCAGCGCCGGCGATGGGGCTGGAAAATTGTCCATTAGCCACGCTGGGGAAAAGCCTTTTCAACCATTTTTCTGGTCGCGTGAGCTGGCTTTTAAACAGCAGCACAGCTCCTCGATGCCAGGCCAGAGATCCAACCCGAGCTGGTTTTTCCCTTATTCCAGAGCGCTGGAAACGTCCTACTTTATGGGCTCTAAAAACTCATTGGAAAAGGCCAACTTCAGCAGGCAGCCAACTCACGAGCAGTGAGAGATCTGCACTTCRTCTTCTGGGAGCGATTGGAAAATGCTGCACCAACAGGAGCTTCTGGGATGTGCCAGACCTGCCACTCCAAGGCAGGAGCCCATGGGCAGTGAAAAGCTTTCTTGGACAGTCTTCAGACAGGGAAACTGAGGCACGGCAGCGCAAAGCAGCRAGAGGAGGTGGCAAGACCCAGCTGAGGCTGTGTTGTGACCCCACGGCGTGACAAGCTCTGCCCCACAGCCAGCCCAGCTGCCTCGCAGGAGCAGCAGACAGACARCAAGGGGAGCAGGAGCCGTGCCCGGCCACTCTCCGGGCCATCGCTCACCAGATGCTGACCTCCAGCAGCTTTGTGCAGCCTCATTAGAGCTAAGCTGAGCYGTAACTCATCCGAGCAGGGCAATCCACATGCAGAGCTGGCAGCGACGGCTCTCAGTGTTTCAGGCCTCTTTCCAGCAGCAGACGAGTGTCACTCACAGCGTCGCCTTCCCAGCTCCTCACCTGCGCCGGAAAATGGCCTTGGAGMTGCTCGTCTGGCGGCTCAGGAGAGCGGAGGGCGAGGGACGGCTGCCCTCCCGCAGGAGACACACCCGGAGCAGACACAAGGTTATTCACGCCCAAAAGCAGAGCCTGAATKCGAGAGGGATCCTCCGAGGGTCCCCCAGGCTGCCCGGAGCCCCGGCGGGAGCGCTGGGACCCCCAGCCCGGTCACCCCCCGGACCCTGCGCTCCCCGACACGGGCTCCCAGCGCCACCTAACGACACGGCGGCCGGGGACAAGGACATTCCCGGCGCTGGGTGCATCCCCGAGAAGGATGGAGAGCAGCGGCAGCGATGGGGAGACAGGAGAAACCCGCACACGGGGCTGGGGCTTGGGGGCGTAGGCAGCAGAGGAAGGGGAGCTGGAGGTGTTGAATAAGAACTGACATGGATGTGACCATCCTCCCTCTGCCCGTGAGGCTCAGTGCCCTGGCCCTGCCCTTCACTGACCTTCATCATCCCATGGTTTTCCCACAGACCGGCACGAACCCCAGGGCTTTGGTCATGTTCAGGGTTGAGCAAGGTCACCGAGCTCAGMAAGGACAGACACTCCCGTTAATCTGTTATCACAGCCCAAAAACCAGCCTGAAGCATCCTCAGTTTGGGAGCAGCCGTGTGCCAGGCTCAGTGCGAGCACAGTGGCCTTTACCACGGCTACAAAAGCACCCTGGCATCAACATTCAAGGCGATGGGGAAGAAAACCCTGGGGAAGGGCCGTCTCCTCTTCCCAAAACCTTCAGATTTGAGGCAGCCACAACAACCCCTTCGCCATCACTTTCCTGGCTGGGCTGTCAGCCTGAACTGCTGCTCCCCACAGTGGGTGCAGCCCCCCTGGCCTCCACACCCCCCTTCCCAAAGCTCTGATTCACCTCGGAGCCCAGCATTGATGTAATCTCCTGCTCAAGAGTTCAGCATTAGGACTGCATCAGCCGCGAGACGTAAGGAGAGCCACATCACACGAGCAGCTGTTCCACAAAAGCTTTATTGCTCGTTTGAGTACGAGCTCCCATTATCACATTTCCTGAGTTTCTTAATGAGCTTGCAAATGAGATTTAAATAGAAAAGGAGAGAAAAAGGGAAAAATAGGGAGAAGTCAGAGATGTCCCTTCCTTGATTGGAGACAGAGATGAGGTGGGAGAACCATGCCCCGTGGGCAAGTCCACTGCCTTGAGACTGAGCCAAGGTGGAGGTTGCCCTGACTCGATTTACCCTCTGCCTCCATCACARAGCCACTGTCACCATTTCCACAGATCAGAGAGGAAGGGCTGCAGTCCTGCAGTGCTCCAGCAGGCACGGGGGGGTTGGGGACAGCCAGGGAAGGGGCTCCGCTGACGCTGCCCCTGCGCCACGGATAAAGAGGAGATTACAGCTCACGGCTTGTAATCTGGCTTAAAACCTGACACCGTCACCGTAGGCAATCTGGGCTAAGAGCAGCATTTAATAAGCTTCAAAACACACAGGCCAAGAAAATAACCCCAGCAGTGAAAGGAGAGAAAGGGCTCAAGGCACGGCTTGCACCAGTCAGCACCGGCAGGTACCAATGGACAATAGATCCTTCATGATCCGGAACAAGGCAATTACATGCTTTTAKCCCAGTCCACCCCATAAAACAGAACCTGGGCTCTGATGGGCTTTAACTGTGGGAAGCAGAAGGCAAATTAATGCCCTTTTCTGCCTGTGTAGATCTCACAAGTGGAGAGCACCCGGAGCTGCCTTGCTTTGGGACAGCACTCGGGGGCTGCTCCCAGGTTAAGGCAGTGGCAGGACAAAGAAGCCAGACTCAAGCAGTCAGTCCAATTTGGCTTCTCTGGAAGGGTTTATTTTTAAAAACAATCATTACTAAAAGATGCCTGCTTGGCACGAATGACAAGGCAACGAARCCATTTGGCTTGCAGTTTAAGGGACAGACAGCAAGACACAGGGAAGCTTCTCCATGTGACTCGCTGTGGGGAAGTGGCTGTCCGGGAGTCCTCCAGCTGCACACACACCTCCCCTCACCTGCACTGCACRATCATTAATGCTTCAAGGACGTAAGAATCACCCCAGGAATGGCAGCTGGCTGCAGGGATGTGAGGCCAGCCAGCAGCCTCAGTTCTTGAGACTTTGGGAACCCAGAGTTGATCATTACCAGGAGACCCCAGTGTCACAAACCCCTCCAGAGCCACCCCCAGCCCTGGGCACAAGCCCTGCGCTCCCAGGCTCTGCTCATGGCCTGCTGGTGTTGCCCCAGGTTGGCACCACAGGAGCAGTGCCACATTCCCACCAGAGCTGCCTTAGTGGCCGATGATCTGCAGCATCTCCGCAGGATCCACGATCTTCTCCCGGGGTTTGCCAGCAGCTTTGCCTCTGGCCACTTCRGCAGCATCGATCTTCTCCCAGTCCGAGAAGGAAACTGGACGGACCCCTGGGGTGATGGTGAGAGAAGGGAGAGAAAACTCAACCAGGTGAGAACAAGTTCAGCCTCACCTCCCCCTCGGCAGGGCCCTGACGTGGCAGCAGAGCTGCCCTTTTCCGACACAGTGTCAGGGCTCAGCCTCGCAAAGGAGAAATAATTTCCAACACCACGAGGAGAGGGATGGCAGGTTCCAGTCGGCTCGGATCAGTCAGACCTTTGCAAGCTGTAACGACGGCGAGCACAAAGCACCCCAGGGGACAAAATGCTTCCAGTTCACTGTTAAACCTCAGACAGTTTAAGAGGCAAAACACACACACACACTTTAATTGAATGTCTTTAAACACAGCTACAGCAAATTACTCTCCTGGGCATTTTAATCTTTCCCCTAACTTGCTTGGAAGGATTACTAGGAAAACCACTCAAGAGCAATAGCTCACTGTCTCGGCAGCTGACAGTGACATTTTACCCAAGGTCTGCRCTGCTTTTAATGGCCCTTCCCAGAAAGTGATCATTAACCTTAGCAATGACACAGATATTTGAGGGAATTCAAGTCCTGTTCTCCCTGGGCTTTGGAACATTGGAACAGCAGCAAAACCCATTCCCATGGTTCAGACTCTGCTCCCTCACAGATCCAGGAGCAGTTTGGCWGCACTGTGCCCTCCCACTGAATGCTACAGAGCCTGGCACTGACCTCGGCTGYGCAGGATGCTCTCCACGGCCCCAAAGCCTTCTCTGGAGGGGGACATATCCAGCACACCCCCCTGGAGATCCTCCAGCACGGACTGGGCAGTGTCAAAGCTGTCGTTCATGGTGGTGATGATCACGCCCGTGGGTCCTCTCTTCACCCACCCGCTGCAGTACAGACCTGCAGGGGCACACGAGCAGCCAGGCTTGGGTCAGCATGTGGCCTTGGAGCCTCGTGGCTACACGTCCTTGCCCTGTTCTCCACCTTGAAGGGGGGAATAGACCCTTGGACAGTGCTGTGGCAGGAAACTGGGAAACTGCAGACCAGCACTAAGGAGCTGCAAGAGCTGTGTCACTTTATAACAGGATCCAGTAAAACCCTCCCATGCTAAACCAGACACCCCAAACAAGAGATGGAGATGGGCCAGCTCAACCCCTGACAGAGGCAGCTCATTCCCTCAGCTCCCACTGCCCCAGGTGTGCAATATCCACACCCTTGGCAAATGGAGCCTCCCACCCACCCACCAGCTGTGCTTGACATGTCCCAAACAAATCCTGTGAATACAGACTAGGACACCCTCCACCCTGCCCAAGCTGATGGGGATGACCCCAGATTCCCAGGATATAGACTGGGACACCCTCCACYCTGCCCAAGCTGTTGGGGATGACCCCAAATTCCCAGGATACAGACCTGGGACACCCTCCACTCTGCCCGAGCTGTTGGGGATGACCCCAAATTCCCAGGATACAGACCTGGGACACCCTCCACTCTGCCTGAGCTGTTGGGGATGACCCCAAATTCCCAGGATACAGACCTGGGACACCCTCCACCCTGCCTGAGCTGTTGGGGATGACCCCAAATTCCCAGGATACAGACCTGGGACACCCTCCACTCTGCCTGAGCTGTTGGGGATGACCCCAAATTCCCAGGATACAGACCTGGGACACCCTCCACCCTGCCTGAGCTGTTGGGGATGACCCCACGCTGGCTGTCGAAGGGCACGGCCGGGTCCAGCGGCAGGCTCCGGTAGCCGATGCTGCTGAGCACCAGCCCACACTCCAGCTCCTCCACATCTCCAGTGGGAACGGCCTTGGCAGAGTCCCCCGAGCCCTGAGAGAGGGAGGAAGAGGCTGCTGACCACCAGAGTCACCAGTGCAGAGCAGCAGCCCCCTCCAGTCCCTTTTGGCATCTCTGATCCCCAAGTGGATGTTTGCTCAAGGACATTCTGCAGCAGCAACGTGGAAAGAGTTCCCTTTGGAAGGGAAAAAGCTTTTGGAGGTACCAGATTCCCCAAGAGCCCACCAGAGGCCATTCCAACCAGACAGGGAGCACAGAGCTGTCTTTGGAGAGATTCCCAAGGGATKCAACAGTGTCCTGCTCCATCCCAGCCTCCCAGCAGCCCCCTGGTACCTCCAGGCGGGTCAGGGCCATGCGGACACCCCTCGCCCTGGTCCCATCAGCACTGGGCAGCACTTCCTGGGGGCTGCGCTGGAACTTGAGCCCCCACTCCCGGGGGGCTGCTGGCCCTGCTGCCTGCACCTCCACTGCCTTCTCCCCGGGCTTCTCCAGGGCTGTTTTCATCATCAGCTCAGTCAGTCGTTTCCTGGGCCTGGGAGCATCTAGGAAAAGGGAGAAATCTTCACAACAGGAATCAGCAAAAGCCCCTGGGGACACAGCACGGGGCCAAGGCCAYGTCAGGGCAGTGTGAGTACGTGAGTCTGTCATGTCGGTGCGAGTCCAGCACCTCTGAGATGACAAACTGCAAGTCAAAGTGACCAGGGGATCTCCTGAGGCTTGGGGCCAGTGGGACACACAAATCAAAGCCTGCAGTTTCCTGTCGTGCTGGTGCTCGGAGGCAGCAGCCTGTGGAGGAGAGCAGGTCCCTGGGCACCCTTGAACTCTGTTTTCTTTTTAGRTCTACAGGAAGCTCTTCAATCAACAGCCTTGGGAGCTCCCCTGCAAGGTTCCCTCGGCCCTCCTGAGTTTCCTGCCCTCATCACTCAGAGTGCAAGCACCGAGCGGCTGCACAAACAGAAAAACACAATGTTCCCTTGTCCTGGTGCCTCCCAGCACTGTGAGGACGTGACACACCATGGTCACTGAGCCTTCACGAGCCAGGCATTAAGCACAGAACAAGAGTTACTCTGAGGTACACTCTGAGCACCTCCAGATCACTCCTGGACGCTGGCCTGCCAAGGTGAGTCCCTGTTTGGGGGAGCAAGGCACACTTCCCTCACCTTTCACTGCRTTTTCGAGGCCTGTGAAGTCAGCAGGGTCCAGGACAGCTCTGGTTCCAGGCAGGTTGATCATCTCCCGCAGCTCCTGGGAATTGTGGGCAGGAAGATGTCACCTCCAGCACAGAGGGGACACCCAACAGCCCCAGACCCCCTCCCCAGCAGTCCAGGCTGGGAGCCAGGGTGCAGGAAGGATGCCTGGGATCCACACTCACCCCCAAACCACCCCTCCCCACTAGGGATGGGCAATTTGGGGCTCAACTCTGGCAAACAGCAGCACCTCCAGCCTCACCTTGATGGTGAAAGCGACTTGGAGAGGTCCCCTCCTCCCAACCAGCCAGACACGCTTCACCTTGCTGCAGGCRAGAGCTGCCAGCGAGCTGTCAGTGATGTCTGTCTTCTGCAAAACAGAGACGGCAGAGTGGGACGAGGGCAGATCTGGAGGGAGCTGGGGGGGAAGGCACAGCCTCTGAAGGTGAAAAATCAGCAGAAAAGCTGGCTGTGCATGCAGAGGGAAAGGAGTCATCTCCCTTTGCACAGAGCTATTTGCACAGCTGGTCCCTCATCACTGAATGTTCTTTCCGAGGCCATAATGCACCAGAGGTAACGAGCCAGCACCCCGTGACTGCCTCGGGGGATCCACCCAGCAGCTTCACCTTGGGGCTAACAGAGCACAGCCTTCCAGGAGCTCTGCTCTGAGGTGCCTGCAGATGCTGCTGGGTGATGTACAGGCTCTGGGTGAAACCTGCTACAAACCAGAGCTCAAATCCCCACCTGCCTGCCCCAGGCAGCTCCAGCACAAGCRCAGGCATGGCCAGGGCTCGGCCTGGTATTGGCACCTCACAGGAATCCTGTGCTCTGTTTCAGTCATGGGTGTGTTTATCTAGGCTACAAGATCTGTTCCAGTGAAAATATGATGGGAGGGACACCAAGTAACCARGATAAACCATTCCAGCCCAATATTCCTATCAGGGAACTACCTGCCCACCCTGGCACTCATTCCAGTGCTATGTTTTTGCTCCCAGCTGCCTTTAACCACTGGCTGGCAGCACCTCCAAGTTTGTTTGTTTGTTTGTTTTTTTTAATTTGATTTAGATATGAGTACAGAAGTTGTCACACAGCTGTAACAAACCTCGTGGCATTTCTCCCGGAGGGAAAGCCTTTGCTGCCAACATCTGGGGCAGCAGCTGTAGGGAGCAGCTGGTACACACCAGATCCCAGCTGTCCACAGGGAKGAGGTCCACCAGTCTGCCCAGTGCCACCAGCAGAAACCAGGCTGCTGCCCTCAGCTCCAGGAGAAAAAGAAAAACCCCAACAGAATGTTCTGGYTTGCTGGCAGAAGAGAGAAAGTGACTCCTCTTTTGCTTCTTGTGGGAAAGCAAGGGATGATGCTCGATTTGCAATTTTTTGGATGCCAGCAGAGCAATCCAGAGAGCTCTGCAGCATCACCCAAGGCATGGCCACAGCCTTGGATCAATCCCTACAGTGACTCTATGGGTGTACCCTAGAGGCAACAGCCTTCCCTGGGAAAAGATCCCGAAGACAGAGGAGTCCAAGGTTTTGGCTGAGATGGGGGAGCCAGCACCCACCCAGCAGGCAGGGAATTTGGGCCCTGGGCTGCCCTGTGGTGCAGAGCACCATCACTCACCCTGAGGAGCTGCAGTGGGGACAGGAGGATCCGGGCAATGTCCAGTGCCACGTTGCCATGTCCCAGAATCAGCGCGGTCTCACAGCTCAGGTCAGGCTTCAGCTGTGGGGAGAGACCCAGCTGGGACTGAATCCACGTGGGCTCCATGATGTCCAGCCCTCCTACCACCCAAACTCCCTCACACCCCTCTCTGCCCCAAAAAGAGGCAATGCAGATGGGGAAACTCCCCACCAGTCTCCTCCCCAAACAGACACAGCCCCTCCAGCCACCCCAGACAATCCCTCTTCCCACTCTCCCTGCTCTCCTGGGAACAGGAGCTGTTTTGACCAAAAAGCCTCCTCAGGAAGCAGAGCATCACCCCTACAGGTTCCCATCTGGCCCTGCCAAAATGCGCTGCCAACGTGCAGAGCGAGCTAATCCGCTCTCACTGATGTGCAAATTGTTCACATTTCTACCATCTAAGAAGGATTTAACATGGCTCCTGCTAATCTTTTCCAATTGCAGGCCTTTCAGGATTTAATCTGGAGCTGTTGGGATGGGAAGAAGGATGGGGAGGACAGGCAGGGGAGCACAGGGCTGTACTCACATCCCGGTTCTCGGGCAGCCCGTTGTACCAGCCCACGAAGGCTCGGGCAGAGTAAACACCAGGAAGGTTCTCCCCTGGRATCCCCAGGACCCGGTTGTCTTCAGCACCGTAACTCTGAGGAGGAGCAGACACGGTCAGAGGTGTCACCATGAGCAGGGTTTGACACCAAAACACACAAATCTCCCCTCCCAGTGCTGCCAGGAACACTGCATGGCTGTGACACCCCATCCCAAGGTGGGACACTCAGTGGAGGGGCTGAACAAGGCCCAAGCACGGGGGCTTCATCCACCTCATCACCCCGGGCTCCAGAGCCAAATTTGGCCTCTTTGGGCCAAGTCAGAGCATGGCAAGGTGAGGACTGAGCAGGAGGGACAAATCCATGGCTGGAACAGGCATTGACCAGCACAGGGAGAGGTTTCAGACACCTGCACTCAGTGCCAAGCTCAGCACACACTCCCTGCAAGGGCTTCGGGCATCTCTGGGAACATCTGAGCCGTCCCGAGGCCGGGAAGAGCTTTCCACAGTAACAAGGAAACCCAGAAACACCTCCCCCAAACACTCCACCCGAGGTCCCAGTGGGGAACAACCCTGCAGGCCTTTCCCAGGGYTTCTGGGGCTCTGAGGGGGTGGGTACCCACCAGCACCACGGCATGGTACGCCTGCTGCAGCTCAGGCACCGTCACGTCCCTCCCCACCGTGACGTTCCCGTAGTAAGCGCAGCGCTCCGAGCGCGCCGTCTGCGTGAAGGTGTTGATCACATTCTGGGTGAAAGGAATGAGAGGGAGGTGTCTTTACAAACTAATTATGGGGTCTGCTGGGAGATAAGGGCAGATCTGGCAGGGGAAAGGTGCAATGGGAGGAACCATAAATTCCATAGCAATTCCACCCATTGGCACAGACTGGTGCTGACCCAAGGCTGTGCTAAATCCTGGACTTAGAGAAAAACAACAGAGACACAAACAACAAAAAGGGGGGGGAATGCCCATTAAATGGGGGTCTGTATTAGGGGATTCAGGCAGTCCTGTACCTCTCAAGTACCTCAGCCAATTCAGAGAGGGAAACATGGCCAGGAAATTGGGATAAAAAGGAGGCTACATCCTCCAACAATTTGAAAGACCCCATGGAAATGCCCCATGGCCTCTCCCTTTATTCAAATAAAGTTACAGGACTCCTCTGTCTCCTTTTTGGACATAACCTCTGGTGTTTGTGGATTAATTTTCCCAAAGTTGGAGAGAGATCACAGAGCTGGAGTTATGTCCCACAGCCAGGGCCAAGGGTGCTGCTGACGGGAGATCCCTGTTCTGCCCCCTCCAGCCTTGAGATGCTTCCCYGCCTTATCCCAGCCAAGTTATTCTGAGACTTTTATCTACCAACAGCCAGAGATAACTCACAGGGAGATAAGCACAGCTGTGACTTGGCACTCTCTCCACCACCCTTCGTGAAAGGAAAATACATATTTTGCACCCACCTGGSGAGGACAGGACCTTTCCAGTACCTTCAGCCCTTCTGAATAAATCCCACTGCAGGGRAAAACTCMTTCCCAAAAGTGAGGTTTGCAGCTCACCTGACCCCCTCAGCCAGGCTCTCATCTCCACCCTGCCTGAAAGCCACGTCCTCAAGAGAGGATGGATGCAGGGCAGGATGGCATCCAGACCTTTTCCTTCTGAGTCATCAGGGCTACACAGCAAAACCACCACTCCCACCCCTGCAGCTCCAGCTGGACTCAGCCTGGGACAGSACAGAGRGCACTGTGCTGCAGACACTGTCCCAACCATTGTGTCCACTCCTCCTCTCTCAGCACAAAGGGATCCAGGCATTTTGATTTTAGGATCTCCAGGGATGAGAGGGGAACCATCACAAGGTATTGCTGTGTTGAGATCTCCTGTGTCCTACCCCTCCAACCACCCCCACCCCAGCTCAGACACAGCAGACACCCCTGGGTACAGCTCAAAGGAAAATGGTTGGGAAATCCCTGCTTTAACTTCTCCCTGCCCAGGTGAGCACCTTCAGCCTGAATCCACAGCCCCCATGAGGAGATTTGTGTGTTCCCAGAATGGACTGAGGGACAAACAGCAGCAGCAAAGAGCAGGTGAGATCTGGTTGGCATTAAGTGCCCAGGGACAAAGTAACCACTGTAACAGCTTCAACTGCACRGAAAGGGGAGGAGGCAGCACCAACCTTCACCTCAGGGTGGTCTGGGGCCACCCCAAAMCGGACGAGCCCGAAGGGAACAGGCAGCTTCTCGTAGATGTCCACCAGGGCCCCGCCATGGTGCTGCGGGAGAAGAAAGGCACAGTCAGGGGATGAGGACAGGAAGGTCACAGGAGCTCAGCAATGAGGGAAAAATGGGGCAGGAGGGAAGGCTGCACCAWGATCCATAGCCAGAAACAGCCTCTTGCAGGCTTTTTCATGAGCAGGATGATGCTGCACCTGTCACTGCCAGCTCAGAGTGACCCCAACCACCATCAAGTGCATCTTGTGAGGCTCCATCCCCCTACCCAGCCCTCAGCTCCTTTCCCACMCTAACCTGGCAGTACCCAACACCCWGGGRAATGCTCAGAGAGCCCCCAAGCCAGCTGGGAAGCCCCCAGTGCAGCACCCTGGGTGCTGGGGGACCTGCCAGACATCTCCCAGTCCCCAGCAGAGATGCCCATGCCCTGAGATGGCCTGGGCTGAGTCACCTCAGGGTCGGAGCTTTTAGACAGATGTTTGGCTGCAGGGCTTTTGTTATCTTGTATTTTGAGTCAGCCTCTTCCCGAGATTAAACAGCCCTGAAATTCGTCCCTGAGGCTTAGTAACAGCTATTTTCTGACACATTCCAGAGACAACACAGCACGGTTTAATGACGGGGTTAAGCTGCTGTATCTCTGGAGGGTGCCAGCAGCCCAGCTCTGTGTTCAGGTCTCATTTCCCAACAGAYCCGACTGCCCAGAGCACTGAAATTTGCAGACACGAGGTAAAGCATCACCGGTGTGTCTTAATTCAACCGGGGAAGGACGAGGGAGGAGAGCAAGTCCYACACATCCACTTTTAACACACAGTTAATGTCATTCCTGCTCGGTGACAACAGCTCCRAGCAAGATAGATCCCTGCTGCTTATTTGATTCTAGAAAAATCACTCGGGATGAACTTGTAGCAACCAACCTGAGTCCTGAATGGATGGCTCAGGGGCAGGGCAGGGGTGAAGACAGCGGTTCATGGAACCATGAACAGAAGAGGCTCAGGAGGACCCTGTGGGGTCTGGGCTGCCCAAGCAGCCCCCCAACAACACAGACCTGGCTGGAGCGGGGCCAGGAGCCCTSTAAACCACCCCACAAGCAGCTGAGAGCCAGGCAGCACAGAGATGCCTCCCTCGGTGGGCAGCCCCTGCCCTCCCCCGCCACATCCCAGCCCGGTACCTTGAGGATGTGCTGAGCCGTGTAGAAACCGGCGGGGCCGCTGCCCACCACGCAGACCCGAGGCACCGGGGCAGCCGAGGACAGCCACCGCCGCAGACCTGCAGGGGACAACGACAGGCAGGGCGTGAAGCCACACGAGCTGCCACCTGCCAGGGCCGGCAGAGCCCCTCCCCGGAGCCCGGCACCCACCCAGCGGGGCTCGTCCCCCCGCGCCGGCCATCGCCGCAGCRGAGCCCAGCGGGGCCGGGCTTTATGTACCGCACCGGGGGAGGCGGACACGCCTCGGGGTCAGGGACAGCGGCCTTGGCGCTTACGGCCGGACCGGGGCCGGCGGGGCCCGAGGGGTGTCAGCTGCTCCAGAGTGACAGAACCGAGACCCCGACCGCGAGCACCGGGATCCCGGTGCCGGTGCCAGAGGCCCCGCGTCCCTCACTCGCCCGGGGCTGGAGCACGGGCCTGCGGGGCGCGGCTGTCGGAGCCCCTCGGGCCCACAGCCCCGGCTGTCCCGGTCCCCCCGGTTGTCCCGGTCCCCCCGGTTGTCCCAGTTCCCCTCAGGCACGTGTCGCCCCGGGCAGGGTCCCGCTACCGCCGCCAGGCCCCGCCCCTCACGGAACAGGCCCCGCCCCTCACGGAACAGGCCCCGCCCCTCACGGAACAGGCCCCGCCCCTCCTCTCCGCCGACCAATCGTGAGCCAGGATTGTGCCTGGTTTAGCATAACCCCGCCCCTCCTGCGGTGTTTGGCCCCGCCCCCTAACCGATAGCCAATGGCATCTCGCCGTTTCCACTGCAGCTGACCGGAAACGAGTGTACCATAGAGAGGCGGAGAAGGAGCGGCACCATGGTGGCCGCTCGCACCGCCGCTTTCTATGGTAAGACCTCCGCGGTACCCGCCGCGCTCCCGCAGCATCATCATGATGCTGTTAATTGCCTGAGCCCCTTTATCGCCCAAAAAGCGACCAGCTGCCGAGCTCTACGGCGGGAAACCGAAGCTCAGACTGATTTTAACCATGCACTGCACAGGTGCCCTCCTCGACAGGAGAAACCCACAGCATCCCTCGATAAAGGGTAAAACATTAATGCCAGAGGCAGCGGGTAAATGCTGCTGACAGATCTCCTGCTCCAGCATCCCCATGGCTCCTGCTTTATTTCCTCCCTAATCCCCATCATTCAGCTTATTTCAAAGGCTGCTACTCACACCTCCCGTGCAGGAGCACCCCATCCCAWCTTGGATCAGACCGTGCACAACACACCAGCCAGAAAAAATCATCTCAGTGGGCCCAGCAGACATTTAAGAATTGGCCAGATGCCAGAGCACGCAGGAGAGCCTTGACGGGGCTTTTTAAATGCAATTAARACCATGAGGAGTTTACAGCCAGGAGCTGGTTGTAATACGGGTCATAAAACCCACACGCTTTCGCTCCTGCTCTGGGAAATGAGCTGATGGCTTTCAGCAAAGGCACGCTGAGAATGGCAGCTGGCTCTGTGCCTCCCTCTGCACCCRCTCCTTCTGGGGGGTTGTGGCAGGGACCGGGAATTCCAGCAGCTCCAAACCCTCATCCTCAGCACAGCAATCACTGATCCCTGCCCAGAGAGACACGGCTGGAGGCTCCAAATGTCACCATAGATGTCATCCCTAAAAGGAGTCAGGTTAAATTTGGGCTGTTCCAAGAACAGGGATCAGAATCCACCTTTTCCCCAGAGTTCTCCCTTTTCCCCATTAACTTCTGTATCCACCAGGTGGATTTTATCCCTATTTCCAGGGGAAAATCCCATTTCCCGAGTCACAGGCCATCTSCCGCTGGCTCAGGGACCTGCAAGCACCCGCCTTTAGATGGCACTGCTTTAAACAACATCCCTGAAATCCCGCTGGGAAAAGGGCCTTTACTCCCACCAGTGCTTGGGAACATTTGGGGCTGATCTCTTTGCAGCAAGAGAGGGGAAAGGAGCATTTTGTCCCCACAAATGTGAGCACGTGAAGCTGAGATTACCCTGCCTGAACCAAACACACCACTAATGCTCTCTCACCCCCTCGTTGGAGCTGGGAATTATGATGATTTTTCACATTTAGCTTAATTTAGCTCTGATGTTCGATTGAGAGATGAATCAGGGGGACAGTTCTGGGGAGCATTCAGGACATCTGGTCAGGCCAGAGTTCCCCTACCTACAGACCCAGCCTAACCCATGCTCAAAGGACGAGCATTTGCCCTTCAGATGTTTCATAACATCCTGGATCGATGACCCACATGGGCCTGGACAGAGGTGGCAATGGCACCAGATCAGTGCATCAGCAYTCCCTGGGCTGGATAAATCAGTAATTCAACATTTGTGATGCCAAAGGGGTCACACTGAACAGACCCAGGGCTGGTATTCCCTGTCCTGACACAGAGACACGCCCTGGCCAGCCCAGCTCCAGCCTCATGTCACAGCAGCCACACWGGGACACTTCTCTGGTGGATCCGAGGGTATTCCTGGAGGAGAAGGGTGGAAAACAGCACAGACTGCCTGCTGCACCCATCACCCCGCCACAGGCCCTGCCCAGGGCAGAGCATCCCTGTGCCTTGGCACACATTTACCTGTGGAKMTTTATAAACCCACATTGTGGGGCTRTGGGGRTCCAGCCCTGATGGGAGCACAGCCCAAACCAGGGAGCAAAACCCCGGGCTCAGAGCAAAGCCACACTGGTCACTCTTTGGCCCTTTCTGCTCCCCACCGTGGCACTGGGCTGGACTTTGTCACTGGTCCTGCAGGTCTGGGACAGCAGAGCACCCTGGTAATGCCAGACACAGCATCACAGAGGGGGCTGGAATGTCCACATGAGCATCCCTGCCCCTGGCAGCAGCACAGGGGGCAGAGTTCACCCTCCCCAAACAGGGAAAGTCTCCCAAGCCCTGGACCCCTGCCTGCTCCTGGTGGATAATTCCCCTGATAAATTCTTACCAGAGCAACGAGCAGGTCTGGGGTCACCCCAACACAGACAYCCCCCATGGGGTGAGGGCCTTTCCCCCAGCCCTGAGATAACCACAGGAYACCAGCAAATCCTCCTCCAGCAATAAAGAAAATTCACCCCAAAGTGTTAAGGCTGAATTTGCCAAATCTTTGTTCCTAGGAGGGACTGATTTAGCCCAAAGTCAGGCAAAGCACAAGTAGCAGTGACACAACCCCCTCCCCACCATCCAGCCCTTCCCTGAGACCCCAACCACGCATCTGCACCTCCATCCCACACATCCTGGTGCTTCTCAGTTCTGGATATCCCAGCGTGGTGCCACATCCCCCACGGACAGTGGGATTTCCTCTCCCCAAGCGTGAAAGCAGAGTGGTTAAACTAAGCCCTGGCTGGGAATAACTGTGGGGGGACCCCAGTTTTTCTGTCCCCAGTGTTGCACCACCTGGCTCTCCCCCTGCAGTGGCTCYGTGCACCGTTTTCTAGCCAAAAGCAAGACGTCAGGGAGGGATGTTTCCTACTCCACGGCTCCACGGAGGTGTTGGTCCTGCTGAAAGCATCCCCTGCAGGAAACAAAACACCCCCCGAGTGCTGCAGCCCCCGCTGTCCTCACTGGATKCCCACCAGCTCCGTGATGGGGGGAGCGTGCACCATCAGCTCCTCGTATCTCTGCAGGAAGAGCTGCAGCCTGGAGCTGTAGGTGTCCTCGTTGTAGGGCAGCTTCTTCTGCTTCAGGTACTGGGAGACGATGGGTTTGATCTGCAAGGGCAAAAGCAGCGTCACCCCTGTGCAGGGCGCCCTGGTGTTTGTACAAAACCCCAAAAACGTGCCCAGAAAAACCCATCCCACACGYGMAAAGCTGRGCTGGGGCAGGCAGCACCAGCTGAAATATCTTTGGTGTGAAATTTAAGAGGAAGGTGGTTTGCAATTGCAGCAGCACGGGGAGTTCACCCTGGCAAAACATCTTGGTAGGGTTCTGATTTGGGAGAGATACCCTAATGAGGCTTCTAATGAGAGCCAGCCARGAATGCTCATGGGTCACACCCATCCTTGTCACCACGTGCCCACACAGCCAGCTCGGTGACAGGACTGGGAGGTTGCCACAGATTTAATTAACCCCTTCCCTGCAACACCCTTTTGGGGGAGACAAGTCCTGCCAGCTCCGTGGGCTCGAGCAAAGGGCACTGAAAAYAAGGGAACAGCACTGAGTGCCCACCCTGTGCTGAAGGGCAGTGTGTGGACCTGCCTTGGGGTCCCTCCAGCCAGGGCAGTGCTCAGAGCCCACATTTTGAGGTCACCCCACACCTCAGAGCAGCAAGCAAGGGCATGATCAAAATGATAGGAGGTTTGCCTSGATGCTGTCTGAACCAAAAACTGAACTGCTCAACACTGGGGGGGCTTTGTGGAGTAACTGGGAGGATCCTGGACAGCTGGAAAGCTGCTGCAGGSTGGAACTGGGACCAGGAGAAGGAGCAGGGAGCAGAAACCCAAGAAAAATAGGGATGGGATGGCAGGAGGTGGGTTAGGGGCTGTTGGAAAGCAGCAAGATGCTTCCAACACAGCAGGGAGGAGTGCAGGGAGGTCTCAGAGAGTGATGCTGCTATAACTTGGGTCAAAGTTATAAGATGCTTATATAGCTTGATTTATAAAATACCTATGTAACCTGAATTATAACATTTTAATACTTATATAAGATGAATTATAGCTTTTGATATTTACATAACTTGAATTATAACTTTTTATACTACGTGATAGCCAAATGTAGTTAACTAGTTGCTTAATGTTTAAGTAAGCAAAAACTTGACAGGTAGATAACTTCAAAAAAATAGATATTGCAAATTGGGAGACAGCAAGATGTGCTAATGAGAAACTGGCAAATATAAAGCAAATTAGCCACAAGATTAAGAATTTAGACTGGCTAGAAAGCCCAAGAAACACCATAACAATGCATGCTCCGAAGGAAAAGTTGAAAAGTTCAGATGTGAGGAAGACCTTGAGCCCTCATCAAAGAAGACCCCCAGGACCACCTAAATTGGAGAAGTGCAAGCCCAGTACAGAAAAATTATTTATAATCACGAGGTAATCTTATATAAATTAGCTTCAGGCACGTACATGATGATGTTAYGCTGACATARCAACATTAAACAAYACTTATTTWATAAATAAGGCATGRYACTTGACMAAGGTGGGTGAGTTGGRTGGAGAGATCCCCCTCACCTCCAGCGCTGTGATAAATCCCTGCTCTACAGACATCAGTGTTTGGGATTTTATTTATAGCCTGTCCTGTTGGGCTTCAAGAGAAGGGTGGGGGACATGGATGTGTTGTCCCCGTGTCACCTCCCAGCACTCTCAGCCACCCTCTGGGCTTGTCTCACCTTCAGGCACATGTTGTCAGAGAGGCTGGGGAAGAGGTGATGCTCCACGTGGCAGCTGATGAGCGAGTGGCCGAAGGACCAGTCGAGGAGGGCGTTGCGGGGCAGGTTCAGCACGCCCATGCTCATGAGGTGGATCCGCTTGGGTTTGCGGTCGGCGGCGAACATGGGGAGCCCGATGTGCTGCGGGAGAGGCAGGGTGGSCACCATGGCACCCACTGCCTCCCYGMTCTCTCCCCAGCTCTGCCCRTGTGTGGGCATGAAGAGACACATTTGGGGGTCTCTCTGCCAGCCCCAGAGCTGGGTTTGTCCCTAAAGTCACCCCAGCTTGTGTCTGACTGTCCTTGGAGCCACCAAGGAGCTCCCAGGCTCTGTTCCCCCAGCACATCCACACTCAGAGCCTCTGCCCATGCCAGGGCCTGTAACACCACCCCAAACACACACCAGCCCTGCCAGGACATCCCCCTCACCCCCTGCACTCATGTGCCCTGACATTGTCCAAGGGCCACCACTTTCCACCCAGCACCACCAGCCTGATCCTGCTGGTGACAACATCRGCACGAGGGAGGTGACAACAGAGCYCGCTCACTTTAMGGTGACACRAGTTCCAGCCAGCAGCATCAGGGCTTTGTCACCAGCACTGGGTGGTGGCTGGCCTGTCTCCAGCACTGTTGGGATGCTCAGAGCCTCATGTCTCTACCTGGAATATGTTGACGTGGATGTAGGGGTGGGCCAGGAGCGAGCGGGTGAGCAGCATGCAGAGCAGAGCAGACCATGGTGACTGGAACCCCGAGACGTGGAGCAGGAGCCAGTAATGGCAGTAAAACCCCAGGAACATGCAGCACAGGGTCCGGAGAGCTGCTTTCCACTCCACATTCCTCAGTAAATCTGCACAAGGAAGAGGAGAGGTGTTGATGCTTCCCTGCTGCTCCAGCAGCCAGGCTGCCCAATGTGCCAATAACCCCACAGCCCAGCCCAGCCCATGAACTCACTTTCCCCATCCTCCACGTTGGCCCAAACTCTATTAAGTTGCTGGATTTTGGGTCTGAGAGCCTCCCCAGAGCTGCAGAACCAGCTGAGCATCATCACTCAGGGGATTCAGATGCATCTTCATCTCTTACAATTTGCCAAGTCATTGTCAGAGCATTTGGCACTGCCCAGAGCTGGGTCATGCAGCCCAGAGGGCTTTGCTTGCCCAGCCTCTCACTGCTTTCTGGGCTCTTCTCCCTGATTCTTTCCTGGCACCACGATTTCCCTGGAGCCACCACTTTTCCTGCCCCTGCAGCCCCCCACACCTCCAGCTCATCCAGAGCCATCAAACACCCCAGCCTGAGACCCACGTGTGACACTGAATCCCATTATGGCCACAGGTCTGAATTAAAGGAGATCAAATTTGGGGTGCTTCAGGCCCATCCATGATGGCTTTTGCCAGAGCTTTCAGCATCCAGCACAGGAAAAGGTGAGGTGTTTTCTCAGCACCAGCAGAAATTAGATGCCATCCCCMGGGGAAGTGCAGCATCTCCTGCTTTTCCTGCAGCCCAGTGGCTGTTGTAGTTAATGTGACACCTCCAAACAAAGCAGAACCCTTGGGTGGGGTGAGAGCTGAGCAGCCACAGGCTCCCTGCACCCAGCACTCTGTCCCAAWGCTCCTGGCACACGTACCAAGTGCCACCAGAGGGGTCAGGATGGGCACTGCGAGTGGGGCGATGAACATGTAGACGTAGCGGTTCAGGAAAGGCAATTTCCAGGTGCTGGAGTCCCCCAGGCCGATGACGTTGGTGTAGCCRTGGTGGATCTTCACGTGGTTGTAGGTGGCCTGCTCCACTGTGAAAGCTGAGCAGAGCTGGGAGGGGAGAGACAGGAGAAGTTGTGGTGTCGGGGTTGGGCACTGCCTGGATTGGGCTTATGGGGGAGGAACCCAGGGAGATGCTCTGGAACCATAATGGGGCACCCTGGGGAGATGCYCTGCACCCCACAGACCCCAAACCAGTCTGGAAATGGACTTTTTAAGAACCAAACACTGGAAATCATTCCCACCATCCCACACTACAGCAAGGTGCTGATGGGGTGTTTTGGGGGCTGCCCCGCTCACCTCGATGAAGAAGATGGCCCACACTTTGCTCCAGGATTTAGACTCGGTCAAGGCATTGTGGCTGGCCAGGTGGCTGCCCTTGACAGTCAGGGTGTGATGSACCACGCCGAGGGTGAGGACACCGGCCAGGAAAGGGATGGCCTGGGCTGACCGCAGGCACAGGAACCCTGTGGAGAAACCAGCCGGGCAGGAGCTCGGCCACCACACGTCCTGCAGCCCTCTGAGCCAGACTGGAGGCGTTGCTACACCCAAACACGCCAGCCACTGCCCTAAACCTGTTCTTCAGCCRTAGTTACAGGTGTTTAAACCACCCAAGCCAGAGTCTGCCTCCTCAGCGCCCTCATGACTGACCAGCCATGCTCACCATTGTGCTGAAGGTTCGGCCACTTCCAGCCAGGATGGCAAACGGGTGCTGCCAGTGCCTGATCCCACCCCACAGCTCTGGGATGTGGGATCCCACTGGTGACACAACTCTGCCAGGATTTCAGCATCCCCAGGAGAACCAAGGGAAAGGTGCCAGTTTTTCAGCCCTGCCACCAGAGACCCATGCTTGGACGTGTCCCCTCCCACACCCACCACGGCCAGAGCCATTGCCACCAAAACCACCAGGGTTTCCCTGTCCTGTGGTGGGGCACATCACCCCTGTTCTGCCCTGGGTGCATCTGCCCAGGCTGTACCCAGGTGCCACCATCCCCCCAGGCTGTGCCCCGGGTGTCACTGTCACCACTGTGGGGTCAGAATGCCCCAAGTCACGGGGTGATGGAGTTATTACGCTTTTGTTACAACCTCAGTAAATACCACCAGGCTCCCAGCACTGAAGCAGTCATGAGGAGGCAGGGGGACCCCTGGGTACCCCCCCGGCGGTGTTTTGGGGRGGCTGAGCCGGGTTACCTGCCGGGAGCAGAAGGAAGCTGCAGGCAAGGATGCTGATGTCCACGCCGTGCCGCTCCCACCAGCTGCTGCTCTTCACCACCTTCTGCACCAGCTCCGACAGCTCTCTCATCAGCGCTTCCTCGGGCTGCCCTGCCCGCTGCGAGGCTCCCGCGGGGGTCACGTCCCCGTCACCCGGTGCTGTCCCCGGTTCCCAGCTCTCTGCCATCGCCTCTGTCCTGCTGCCACCGGGTGCTGCCGTGCCCATCCCCCTGAGCCGGGGGACACCGCTGACCTCCCCGTTGACCTGCTGTCCCCTCGGCCTCGCCGGGTCCCCATCTTCCAGCGACATCTCCCTGCTGAGATGGCCACGGAAGGTGTCACCCAGGGAGGGTCACCCCCCGAGGATCRACCCCCGACCCGCCGCGGACGGGCTGCCCGGCTCCTGCCGCCGCCGAAGGACACGGGAAGGGCAGGGATGGAAAAAAAATAAACAATCCAAGGAGGACGCGGCCGGAGGCGGCCGGAGAGCCACCCAGCCCCCCACCAGGGGGACACCCCGGCCACCACAGCCCCCTACTCACGGCAGCCCCGGCTCGGTGGCTCTCCCGGCGCTGCCGTTCCAGGCTGGCCGGCTCCGCGCACCGGGGCAGCCGCGATTTGGAGAAGGGAGGAGCAGGGGAGGACCGGGAGGAGGGCGAATGCAGATTAGCGATGGCAATAATCCGCCTTGGTGGCCCATTTCAGGGAGCAGCCGTGGCAGTGGGGCGGTGGGGAGGACGCTCGGCGAGGGCACGGGGAAGCCACGGCAGCGGAGGAGGGAAGGAGCGGAAAAAAAGATGGAGAGAGACAGTGGAAAGGCTGGAGGCGAAGGATCCAAGCGCCAGGAATAGCCCAGAGAAACCCAAGCGGAGCTCCGAGTGCAAGGATAGGGTTTCGCTTCTGCCAGGCAGAGGGAGCAAACGTTGCCTGTCCCGCTAGCGAACGGTTTTGGGGAGAAACTCGGCCTTTTCCACAGCAAGGAGCGGCGGGAAGGAGGGGCTGTCCGTGCCTGTCCAAGCTGCTGCTGCCGCGGAGCCGCCCKGCACCCTCCGCTCTGCCGGGGGGACACCCGCCACTCGCCAGGCCACCCCAAATCTGCCCCCAGCAGCTCTGGCACCCAGCTCTGACCCCCGCAGGGACCCTCTGCTCTTCTGACCTGATTCTGTATGAATTTCCTCCATTTTCCATCACTGCCTCCTGACTCATCACCCAGACACAACCTGAAGCTTTGGGAATGCCCCTGCACAGACCAGGACCTCCCGAGTCCTATTTCTTTATGGAGGAGCGCTAACACCCCATTGTTCCTCACCGTGGCGCTGGATTTCTTCTTGCTTTGTTATTTCTCCTTGCCAAATCCCAAATCAGCTCAACCAATCCACCAAAACCTTAATGGACACTGACATCCATCAAACCCYTGTGGGTTTGCAATAAACAGAGCTGGTTTGCTACACCCATCACTGGGGTATCCTGACCTCAAACTGGGATGGGCTCAGCCCGTCCAATAAAGTCACATCACTGCAGCAGTTTGTAGGGCAGCAAACCTCACACCCAAGTTACACCAAGCCCCASGGAATTGTCATCATCCTCTGGGAAAAAAAAATAATAACAATTWAAAAAAAAAATCCCAGGTGTTGCAAAAAGGGCAGAGCTGAGAGTGCATCAGAGACCTGCTGAGGTTTCATTTCCACTGTAAGAGCTGGGATTAGGAAAGACCAGTGGTACTGAGGAATCACAGCAGCATCTGAAGCCCAGCCAGTGATTCATTCTGGTGTGCAGTGTGGCTTTTGTCACCTGCCCACAGGCAGGAGAGCACCCCTGGGTGCTGCCAGGGCAGGAGAGGTGGGTGTCAGACCTAAAAACTCATCGGGTGGGGCTGCCGAGGCTGCTCCTCAGACACCTTCATTGTCACACCTCGATGTCACCGCAACGGACAGTGGCAGGAGGGTGACAGCCCTGCTTGGACRGTGCCATTCGGCAGGGTGAGCAGTGCTGGAGCTGCCATTGCACAACGGGGCTGAACTGGTTATGGGGTGGCAGCYGAGGAGGAGGAGGAGGGTGGGGATCAGCCACACATCCAAGACCAACATGATCTATCAGGATCCCTCCGCAGCTGGACAGGGAGAGCAGGCACGTGGCATCGCTCRGTTCTGTGCTGCCACCGTCACCAGAGACACCTGGAGAGGAGAACAAACAGTGGGCTGAAAACCTCACAGGACAGGCTGAGTTTTGGCTTCTGAGGAAAAGTGCTGAACACAAAAAGGGCTCCTTCCTTCAGTGCACAGCCAAGGTCAGAGTCACAATGCTGACAACAGACCAGAAAGCGCAAGGAGAGCTGTGAGGACAGTCAGCAGGTTCAGGATTGTAGCCCTGTATATGCTGCCTTACAGAGCTCCATTTTCAAAAGAAACTTTTAAACCCCAAGCTGTATCCAATTTCTCACCATGCACAGGCCAAGTCACACAATTCCCCTGACCCAGCTGAGATTTTAGGGATCAAAGCAAAGGCTGACTTGGCCCTTGCACTGTGGACACAAACACCTCCAATTTAGCAGGGAAAATGTGTAAGACTCAGAAATCCTTCTGCACACAGCAGGGGATCACCGGAGGGATCAGTGTAATCCCTGCAGCAGCGAGCTCTGGCCAGCAGCTGCTGATCCTGTGGCTGTCCCTTGCCCTGGGCAGTGCAGGGGTCTCACAGCCCCCACTGCCTCCCCAGGTATCYGCCAGTCCAGGGGAATCAAACCCCMCCAATGTCCTCATCTGACCCCCTCTGTCCCTAGAACTGAGCCCAGCCCCTGGAAAGGCCAAATTTGCTCCCCAGCAATCTGCTCCCGTGTCCCTGCTCCCAAAAGAGGGGGAAATGGACCATTGTAGCCTGGCACAGGGACACACAGGTCAGACCATCAGGACACAGCAGCTGTTTCCTTGCTGAGCCCTCCCAAGGTCCCCTCAGCCTGTGGGACAGTGCCTGCTGCAGCCCCAAAAGTGCTGTTTGCAGCCCAAATCCAGCAGTTTGGAAGAGCTGCAGTATTTGCACCCCAGGGTTGTGGTGAGGAGGCAGAGCTCCCACCCTCCCTAGAACTGCCCACCTTGCACACCCTCCTCCTCCTCGGGGGAGGAAGGCTCAGAGGAGCTGGTAATGGGACACCAGCAGATCCCCTGGCTGCCTCAGCCGGACACCCCAAAACCACCATCTCCCCTTTCCCTGACATCGCTGGTTCTGCAGAGATTCACTTTGGTAATAACCTGCGTTTGAGTGGCACTTCACCCCACCTTCTTCAAACCAAGCGCGTTTTATTAACATTATTAACATAATGAGGGATTAATTGCCACCATCCCCCGCCCAGCAGGGACAGCTTAAGCACCGCCTCTCTTTGTCTTTTGGGGTCTGGCAGAGCCGCGGGGCCCCCGAGAAGGACAAATTCTCCGGATTTATCACCTCACTGAGCCCCGAGCCCCGAGCGAGGAGCTCCATCTGCAGGCARAGCTCTGCCTCCATCACCCCGAAAGCTGCTCCCTGCCCCCCAAAATCGGGCCCTGGCACACGGGTGTTTGGCATATCCCGAATTCCGCTGCCGAGCGGCTGCCAGRGCGAGAGATTAGCTCCGGTCCCCACCCCGGGGCTGCCCCAAGGCTGACTGGGGCACCCCAAACCCTCCATCCCTGGGGCTGTGGAATGAGGAAAGAGCGAAGGGCGAGCTCGCACGGGGCAGGCACCAGAGGGAGTCACAGCTCCGTGCAGCGGCTGCTCGGGCTGTCGCTTAGCCAAAGGTGCGGGAATTTCACCCCAAAACGTGAGTCCCAGCCTGATCTGTGTGCCAGGGAAACAAGCTCTCGGTGGATGCCAGGGTTGGCACAGCCCCCACCCGTGGGATGCAAAGTCCCTTTCCAGAGACCAAAACTTTAAATGCTGGGGGGACACAACCACTGAACCCCATCCCATGTGTTGCAAAGTCCTCTCTTGGGGATCAAGAGTGCAGCCACAGCCTCTCTGAGAGCTCTGCTGGTGCCAGGCTGGGATGGGATTGGCAGAGGGGTGACATGCCAGACCTACCCTGGGCTGGTTTTYAGCCCACATCCTCCCAGCCCTGCCRGGACTGGGCAAAGTCATGCTTTTAACCTTAAATAAACACMCTTCCCACACTGAGGGGTGTCTCACTGTTTGCAGGGCACAAATGGCCACTTCGGGCCACAGCAAACTTCCCGCTGGTGCTGGGCAGCTCCGGGAAGGAGCGGGATGGTGGCGCTGGCTAATCCGGCCGATCTGTTTGTGCAGCACAGAGCGGCGAGACGGGGCGGGCAGAGCCCTGGGTCGTGCACTGGCTGCGGGGGAGGCTGTGTGGACAGGAGTCTGGGCTTATCCAGGCTCTGTGTTGGTTTTATCCAGGCTCTGGGTTGGTCTGCGCTGCCCCAGCACCTCTGCATGGAGGCGGCTGAAGGCCAAAGCCCCACAAAGGACATTGTCCGGCCACAAAGGGGTTGCAGGTCCCACACCAGCCCATTCACACCATTCTTTTCGTTGCTGCCATGTTTTTCTCAACCATTTGAACCCCAAAGGACATTGTCCAGCCAGAAAGGGGTTGCAGGTCCCACATCAGCCCATTCACACCATCCTTTTCGTTGCTGTCATGTTTTTCTCAACCATTTAACCCCAAGATGGGTGCTGGAGGAGTTGTAGGTGGGGAATTGCTCTGCTTAACCTCAGTGATGTTCACCCCAGGGTGAGAAGAGCTGGGATTTGCCTGTAAGCAGCAGCCAGGGAGACATCAAACTAAATCCTGCAAGCTTTAGGGGCTACATGGCATTGCAGAGCCTGAACCCTCCTGGCTCCAGGCTTGGGACTATGGTTCTGGCTAGGCCAGTGTGCTGCWGTGCTGGCCACAAGCATCATCCCCCTGGAAGATTGGGGACAGACCCACAGGACTGCCTGGCAGAGAGGGAGAATCGTCCTTGCAGGGAGTCAAACATGTCTGGTGTCAGCCACACCATGGGGACAAACACAGCCACCTCTCTTCTTCCCTTTCCAGCGGCCATGTGCAAACACAAGAACCCCAAAGCTCAGGGACAAGCACCAGGCATAMATTTTTACTTCCCAAGGCTGTGTGAGACTCGTAGCAGAGGCTTGTGGAGGGAGGTTTATTCAAAGCACTTGAAAACCAAACCCAACACAAAGTCCTGCCCTGAGTCTTTGGATATCCCAGCACCAAAACCCACCTTTCCCCATGAGCACCTCAAAAGCCCCTGGGGACTCGCTGCATATCCTGATACCATACCCAGACTGTGTTTTCAGTTTTATATATCACCAATGAATGAATAAAGCAGTTGTCATCCACCCCTGCTCCAGCCCAGCTTAATTTCCAAAGCCTGKCTGGAAGTGTCAACTAATCACAGACTTCCTCCACTTAGCAGCTCAGGGCCCAGGTAATCACTGGTTTGGGTGCCTGTGCTCTTGCCCCGACCGAAACTGCTTGCCCCCACCCCTGTGTCCCTGGCGTCACCGCCTGGCCTGGTGTTACCCAACGCAGGTGGAGGTGCCATGGRCTCCGTCCCTCTCTGCTGCCAAAATGCTGAGCCTGCCACCAGCAGTGCCACCAAGTTTTCTCTCCTGCCAGCCTGGCAGCTCTTTTGTAACCCTGAAATACTGGGGGGGTCTTGTCCCGGCAAGGATCAGCCCCGAGGAGGGAACCGGCTGTGGTTTCACTCCTGGTTAACAGCC